CAGAGTGTTCACTGAAGGCAGAGTTTCAGCCTGTCATGTTCTCAGTGGGAAGGAAGAATTTGGGAGAGTGACATACCTGTGCAGGCCGAGCAGCTCCACTGTTGTCCCCAGGAGTGTGACTTGGCCATTGGCTGTGTCGGGGAGGCTTCTAGGCTTCATGCAAAACCTCTCTCCATCCACAGAGGTTATACAAGGAGCAAGGAGAAAACATAAAGCATCATTACACGCAGACCACCGACCTCCCTGAAGTCCTGCTGGCCAAGTTGAATGCCATGAATATCAGTGAGGTGAGCCTGCTGGAAGGAGCCCTGTACTTAATTATGGGGATCGGGGGACCTGTCTATTACCAGGGCCTGCTCTGCCCAGAAGGGTCCTGTGCTTGATTTCATGCTCTGGAAATTCGTGGTATTTTTGAACAAGGGGTCGCACATTTTCGTTGCCCTGGGTCCTGCAGATTGCATAGCCCATCCTGTGGAAGAGTCAAGTTCATTAACAAGAATGAGGCAACTGCCACGTGCACATGTAGCAAAGGGCTGATGTGGGGAGTGTCGCCATTAGCTGAGTCTACCCCTCAGCGGCGGCGTGGGAGATGGGGGTAGGGGGGATTTAACTCCTCCCCCCAATACCCATCAGCACGCCATTTTCTGCTCTTTCATGGAGACAGTTGAGTTCTCTTTAGCTTTCCTAAAGCACTTTTCAGTACACCCTCAGGCTTGCTACTCAGGGCACTCTGCACCTAAATCCAACCTCTTGCTTTTTAACCCCTCCCACCATCCCAAGTCTGGGCATGAAGCAGGATCCAACCCATCAGTGCTTTCTGCTAAGCCAAAGCAACTTCTAACTCCGACTGGAAGGGGAACCCCACAACAGACCAGATTTCCATTGTGGTGGTGGGAGTTCAGAGAATTCCCGGGTCGCATGAACGTCTTTGTGCACATCTTCCCAACAGACGCGTTACAAGGAATCATGGAGCAAACTTCGGGACGGTGGCTACAAGCTGAGACTGGATGCCATTCCCTTCCAGGCAGCAAAGGCTTCTGGTGAAATCATTAGCGATGTGAGTACCCTCCTCCATGACTGTGACATTGTCAAAGAGCCAATTTTTAAACCTTTTGCCCCTCACCCCTGCCTACTTTTGCCTGTGGATAATAGCCTGTCCTCTCCCAACTGATGGTGTCAGAACAATTGGGTAATGACCAGTGAGACAGAACATATCTCACAACAGAAAAATCCCCTAGCTGGGGCACAAAGCCAGTTGCTGGGCTGTCAATATGGAGCCTGAGCAGATGAAATGCTGCCTCAACCAAGCACTTTCCTAAAGCGAGGCCATGTGGAGAGATGGTTAACAAAGCACCCACCCTCTTCAGCACAGCCGCCCCAGTGCTAACACATCCTGCCATTTCCTAGCTCGCCCTTTAGTCATTGGGAGTCTTGCATATGAAAGAATAAACCTTTTGACGACTCCCGCACATTTTCTTTTAACTCAACCCGGTTACTGTCAGAAGAACAAAACATTTCGCCCAATACCCACCTCTTCCATTCCGTGTCCCTTGTCCCTGAGCGGTTACTCTCTCCGGCTCTCTTTGCCTTTAGTACAAATACAAAGAGGCATTTGAGAAAATGAAAGGACAAATGCTTGGCTCCCGGAGCTTGGAAGATGATATCAGCCTCGCGCATTCAGTCCACGCGAACTCGCTGCAGAGTGAAGTAAGTGGGAGAAACTGCGACAGAGCTGGGGCCCTCCCTGGTGACACACAGTCCTTACTGTAGCCGGTGCTGGTCTGGGTGTTGGCTGGGTCCTAACTAGCGATGTGGCACACGGCCTTAACCCCAGGCTCCAGCTTCTTCCTCTGCCAAGTGGGAGGTTGGGTTAGTTGACCCCTGAGTTCCCTTCTGAGCTGGGGATTCTCACAAGGGAGTTTGTACTGCAGAGGCACTTTGTTCTGCAGAGTGAGGTAGTTGCAAATCTTTACTTATTTAGTTTAAAGATGTGTTTATTTATGCTTATCAGAACTTGCATTCAGGCTAGAGGTGTGGGGGTAGTGAGAGGATTCATCAGAGACAGAGTGGGGAGCAGAACAGGCAGATCGACTGAAACACATTACTGAGTTGGGCAGCGGGCAAGACAGGAGAGGTCTGCTGCGCCGTGTGGGTCACCTCCGGGTCAGGGATCGAACTCGCGCTGCAGTGGCATCAGAGAGCTTCATAGTGCTGCGCTTTAACCCATTGCACCGCCAGGGAGAGTCTAGCTGCAAATCTTTAAAAGTGGAAAGTTTTACCTAAAAGTTTGAGGTTTTCATCCAGGAGTCAGATTCGTTTCCTCGAGGCTCCACTTGGTGGATTGCTGAGCATGCCGTTCAGAAGGCTCTTGTCGCCTGGTCATGTAGCCGTCTCAGGGTCCCCCACTTCCTCCTCCACACCTCCTGTCTGGCTCCTGGAGGCATCTGAGTTTGCAGCCCTTGATTTCTAGCTCCAGATGCTGGCCTCTGTGTATACCGCTCCTCCCTCCACATTTGTGAGTTGCTGGTGGTAGTGATGAAATCTGTGTCCAGGATGTTTCAGAGGACCAGACAGTTTTACCTGCAGTGTCTCATCAAACCATCAGACTCTCTCTAGGACCTTCCTCTGATTATTTAACCTGGTTTGCTGATGGGGGGCCCAGACTCAGAGAAGATCTGTGTCACGCCCTTGGTGAGCTGGAAAGGGGCAAGGCCACGATGTGAAGCCAACTCTCTGTCTCATACTTTCCCCAGAGCGTCTCCATTTGTTTTTGCCTCAGTTTCCCCATTTGTAGCATTTCCCCCTTTTTGCTCCTGGGGTGATGACCTAAGAGGAATGGGTGGAGCATGACTTCTCCTTGGCTTTGTCATGGGGTGAGGGAGGGTCGCTTGAGGGTGAGAAGGCAGTTAGGGAAGAGTGACAGGAAGGCACTGGGAAGAGAGAAAGCAGAAGCGGTAGAGTCTTTGACTTCCAGAAATGCCAGGAGTGAGCTTCAGGGGCCTTCAAAACGGCTCTTCCAAGGAAGGATAGTTGTGGAACTTGGGGCCTGGAAATGGGCCATGTGACTCCTCCATCAGAACTGGCTTGTGCACTCCTGCTCCCAACTTTATGAGACCATATCATGTTTGATATGATCTGATATCCGCTGGAGAAGAGACCCCCGGTGTCTAACATCCGAACTTGGGGGACACTGGGGAGACTGAGGCACCGGGCATAGCTTTGCATGCATCGTCCGGCCTCTGGGGAGCAAAACTTGAGCTTGAGTTTAGGACAAGTTTAAGACCTGGCATCCATCTGCCCCTTGAACGTAGGCCTATTTCCCAGTGAGCAAATGGTGGATTTCCGTCCTTCAAACCAGTGCCTCGAGGGCTGGGGTGGTGGGTGTGAGCCCTGGAGACAGTTCTGCTCATGGAGCCAGTGCCCACAGCAAGGACCTGACCCTGCCGCCAGGGCCCCTCGGCTTCCTGGGCCATGGCATTGCAATGGCTCTCCCTGGTAGTCCTGATGCAAATGGTGGCTTTGAAATCACCCTTGTTGATCTGTCTGCCCCGCAGGTGAATTACAAGAAAGGCTTTGAACACTCAAAGGCACAGTTCCATCTGCCGCTGGACATGGTCACCCTGGTGCATGCCAAGAAGGCGCAGACCCTGGCCAGCGACCAGGACTACAGACATCCACTCCCCCAGCACACGTCCTTGGCAGAAGACCTGAGGCTGAGCTGTGCCAAGAAAGCCCACCAGTTACAGAGTGAGGTACGGGGCATCTGGCCCCTCTCTCAGGGCTCTTTTCCCCTCAGATTTGACCTGAGATAGTGACCTGCATGCTCCTGTGGCTTTGTGGTGCTTCAGGAATCCCAGACCCAGGTTTCCCTCTGGAACTCACCCCGCTGTTCTGTCTTACTCTTTTGGCTTTCTAAATTGAAGTAGCATTGCATGGTAACGTCATATGCCTTCGGGTGTGCTAATTGGGAGTCAACATGCAGAAATGCTACATTAAGCTGCCTAGCTCCTAACAAACACAGTTGCATAGCTCTACACATAGCAAACACCCATTGAATATGCCTGCCAGATTCTAGGCATTGCTGCTTCACACACTATCATTTAACCCTCAAAATCATCTTTTATCCCCATTTTACAGAGAATTTATAGTGGGGGTGTAAGACTTCAGGTAGCTTGCCCAAGATCACACAACTATAAATGGGAGGGGGGAGGTGGAAGAAATACTGCACTTGAACTTGAACTCTGCACTTGAACTTGAATGGTGTTTGAGGACAAAACTCTCACGTTCCCCAATTTTACCTGTTCAAGTTTTGCAGATAGAACTGCCCTAGCCCCAAGTTGAACTGGGGACTCCTTTTAGCGCTTCCTATGAGCCACCCTCATTCTGAGAAGGGCTGAGAAACTCCGGAGAGCCTGCCCAGGGCTCCTTTGACACTGAGCGGGTCAGGAGGAGAAGTGGAGACATAGGGACTCCTTCCTGGGTCCCCTCCTGCCCCTGGGTATGCAGTTCTAGCTCACTCCCTGAGTTTTCAGAAGCAGCCGGCCCCAGGAGAGTGAGGGAGGATTGAAGGGTTTTTCTCACTCCTGAGGAAATACAGGAGTTCCTGTGCGGGCAAGAGCACCAGCCTCGTGCTCCTCATCTTTCCCCCAGCTGGATGGCATCTGGCTGTGAGGTTTGCAAGGACTGGGCCTCCGTCAGAAAACTCTGCACAGCCGTCTTCCTGGTTGGCAGGGTCTGCAAGCCAAGCAGTGCTCAGATGTGGGCCTGTCAGCTGGTGACATTTACATCTGTGTGCAGTGCTTACTGAGGGGCAACTGTCAGGGGCACTGAAGATAGTGGGTGGGGGGGGGGTGGCTGCCTGGCTCAGATCCCAGCCCTGTTGTCATGAAGCAGCACCCTGCGGGCCATGAACTCACTGGGACCGAAACTGGAAGGCAGCTCACCCCGGCATTTTGGTGACTGAAGGGGAGAAAACTGGGGAACCCTTTAACCTGTCACCCCAAAACACTCAAGTACACACACCTGCCCCTTCCCACACTGACTAAGACAGGCCTTTGCCAGATTATTCTGGATTCATTTATCAGTTCTTTCTTAACCCATCATTAATTAACGCCACCCTGTGTACTGGCTTTCGTTGTGGAAGACCGAGTCAGCCATCTTCACATTTGCCCCAAGACAGCTGACTTTCTAGGCACCCTCTGTGCCAGCGTTTATTTTTTGATAGTCCATGTTGGGAAAAAAAAAAAAAAAAAAAAACCCTCCGTGCGTCTGCAAATGGCTACTGTCACAAGTGACAGTGGAGCCATTGTCTTCTGGGTCCTGTTTCCATTTCCCTAACGCACGCTTCCTGAGAGGCATCTGTGCATTGGCTCAGTGTGACGCATCTGGAGAGACAGACCAGGCCTTGGGTTCTCATCAGGACGCCGTCCGGTCCTGGTCCTCTGGCTTCTCCTGGCTTCCTTGTACTGTGAGTTTGGCTCTTCTGATTTGTTGTCTTACCCCTGTAGAACTTGTACCGGTCGGACCTGAACTTTATGCGAGGTGTGGCCTGTGTCATTCCAGGCACCTTGGAGATTGAAGGGAGGAAGAAAGCCTCTGAGCTCATCAGCGAGGTACCCGGGACCCCCCTGGGGCGATGGGTGGGAAGTGTGTTTCCGTGGCAGGGGCTGTTCCACAGCGATCTCCTTGCTTCTTACCCCAAGTGCAGTAGCAGTTACACGGCTAGGCTCATGACTTCCTGTGTCGCTTCTAGCCTGGCCTGGCCTCTGATGGTTTCTCCTTTGAGACTAGATGCCACCGTAAGGCAGTTTTACAGATACTGAATTAACATGCAAGGATTATTCATAGGCTCAAAATGTTCTTTCCTTGTGTCCTGTAGAAGTTGGCCCTGTGGTCCAAAATAAAGAGGGCAGACTTTGGAAACTGAAATTTCCAAACCAGCACTCAGTGGCTGTGTGACCTCCAGCCAGTCACCTGCCCTCTCTGAGCCTCAGCCTCCAAGAGGGATACTTGTCCCTCCCCATTTAGTTTTCGTGGGATTAGCACTAACCTATGCTCTGCGCTCCTCTGTTGGGAGTCTGAAATGTTTGTATAAGCTTGGTGATAATTTCTTGCTCAACAAAGTAAAGAGGTCTAAAAGACTGAACTGTTTGGAGGAGTGAGGGATCACCTCTGAGAGGGCGCTGGGACTCCAGTTATGGCAGATTCAAGGACAGAAGGGCACAATGGAAGTAACGTTGGCCAGTGTCCAGCTGGGACATTCAATGGGCATCCTTGCTGATGTGTTGATGTGTAACTTACAGAAAGCAGGATTGACTAACTGTGGAATCTGACTCTGCCCTCTGCTTTTCAATGAAAACTCTAAGGAAAGTTCTTTCTAAACTTATGATGCCTCAGAGCCCTCTTGAGAGCTTTAAAAAGATCCGAGGCCTGGGTCTACTGATGAGGCAGGTCCCCATGTCCTGGAGTGGGGTGCAGCATGGGTAATGTTCAAGCAGCACTGCTGTGTCTGGTACGCCCCCACAGCTGAAGAGCCTGGGTCAGGTCTCTGGTGAGCAATAGTTGGGAATAAATATCAATATCTCGCATCATGTTCACATTCATGGCAAAGGACTAGAACATCCTTTCCTATACATATGATTCCATCCCACCCACCCTCCCCTCTGTTTCCTCACCCCAGTGACTTCTGGGGCCGTGAGAGCAGGAAATGGGCTGGATTCCCCATGACTGTCCAGCAGCCTTGGCCAATGTGTTTTAATTACCAGCTCTTACCAGGACGATTTTCTGGTTTTCAACTTACCAAGTCTCTTCTTCTCTTTGTGTGTGAATTCAGAGTAAATATCGTCAGCACCCCCAGACATTCAGGTACACAGCGGTGACAGACACCCCCAGTCTCCTTCACGCCAAGCTCAGCAACCAGATTACCAATGAGGTAAAGCTTTTAAAGCAACTGTTGAATTGTCAAAAATACGTGTGAATATTTGTGGGGTTAAGTGGTGGTGGAAAACTTGAATGCTTGCATGGAGATGGGGAAAGAAAAGAAGCCTAAACTTTTCCAGAAGCCAAGAGGACCCCATGGGACATCTGCTTTGATCCATAGTGTCACCCCCAGGTGCAGGCATAGGACAGCAGTGGCAACCGCATTTCCCGGGAGCTTGTGACGAGCGCTGGGCCTCGGGCCTCGCCAGGGCCCCTGAATCCATGGGGACCATGACAGCTGACAAGTTCCTCACAGGGTTCCTTGGCGCTTTAAAGGGTGACAGAGCTGACATGCCTTCATGTCTCTGTCTGGGCAAGCCTGGGCTGGCTGCTTTTCTGTGGTCATTCTGCTCTTTATCACAAGGAGGCTCACAGCTTGGCAGAGGCCACTGATAAATGGTGGTATTTGTCTCAGAATGTCCACCTCTTCTCACTCCCCTTTGGCTCAATTCCCTTGACTGTTTCTAGTGGAGGACCCAGAGTAGGAAGTTTGCTCCCTAATCTTATCCTTCTTGTCCTGATGGTTCTACCTCTTCTTAGTCTCTCTTGTAACTTGGAAGTAGAAAATGAACTTATGGTGATTCATTTTTTTAAAGAGATTTATTTATTTCATGCATACAGAACTGGGGCCAGAGGTGCAGGGGGTGAGAGGATTCACTAGAGAAGAGCAGGGAACAGAACAGGCAGATTGATGAAGTACACTGCTGAGGGGAGCAGCGGGTGGGTCAGGAGAGGTCTGCCGCGCCATGTGGGTCACCTCCCTCTGCAGGGATCTAACTCATGTGAAGTGGCTGTGGTTAGCTTCCTAGTGCTGTGCTTTCACCCATTGTGCCACCAGGGAGGGCCCAGGGGATTCAGTTTTACCCAACTTTACTTTTGAAGATTCTCCTTCAGGCTCTAACTTTATTATTTTTTAATAGTTTATTTTTACATCATTTTGTGCATTTTTCCATCTCAGTTGTAATCCCCTTGGGTTTTCCATCACCAGATCACCCATGTGCCATCACCATAGTCCAGTGCATTTCTCTCCCCACATTGTTTTTGATCCCATTCCTCACTCTACTCCATGAAATGTCTCTGGTATGTAACTGTTCATTATTATTATTATTTTCTCACTTCAGCCTCTCACTTTTAGTAGTCAGTTGGAGCATGAGTACTTATACGATCTGTTCCTACTCTCACCCCACATCAAAAAGTAAGAAATGGCAGTTTGGGACACTCAAGTCCGAACAGGGGGATTGCATGAGCCAGTCAGATTCCTAGTGCACATTCCCTGTCTATTTTGTGAGCTGGGTGCCAGGGGTAACCAGCAACCTCAGAGATCTCAGCAGCCACAGACCCACTTCTAGTCACTGGAGAAAAGATGTTTTTGTAGCAGGTGACGGCCTGCTAGGGCGGCCTTAGGCTGTGTCCCCAGAGAGGAAAGATCTCGGCCTTCCGGCAGACCAAAATTCAGGAAACTCACGTTCACCGCAAAGACGTCCCCTGGATTTCCCAGACATGAGTCTCGCCTCTCTACTGTGTCCTCAAGGGAATTGTCCTCCAGGTCACCAGCTCAGCCTTCCTAAACGTGCCTTTGTCTCTTCAGCTGGTATTGAGTAGAGTGTAGGGGAACAAAGAACACCTTCCCCTCTACTCATTTTAGATAATCATCTGAGACTGTCACAAAGGGCAGATGAACAAGAGGAGAGCAGACAGATTACATAGTGTGCGCTTTTCTTGATACGGGGCCTTCCCTGGGAAATGAAGACCAGAAGGACTCATCGAAGCTGAGCATTTTGAGACTCACTGGACCAATTGTAGAGAGTGATGGAAAATGGGACAGGATAGGAGGGGAACTGATAGGCGTAGACGCCAGGAGTAGGGTGAGCGAGGGCTGTTCAGATTCCCCTCAGTGCCCCCACCCCAGGTAAGGATGCCCTGGGCCCGGGGAGGGCGCGGCTCCCAGGTGGGCCTTGAGACCTGCTTCAGGGGAGGAGGTCAGAGAGTTCGTTCAGCCCTGCCATTTCTCAGACCCCTTCAGCTGAAAGTATTTCACATGCCAGGGTACCATATTTTGGAGTAACATGTCCTGAACTCTGTCAGAAGCAACCTACAGATTCTACATAATTCCCTGGGAGCCTCCCTTTGGCTCATAGAAGGTGGTCTTTATGGACAGACACGTCTTCAGGTGGACGGAGAACAGTGAGCAGCAGAGACCTGCCCGGGGTTTCCCGATGGCAGCCGTGGGCCTCCACTGGGAAAGTCTCCTCCCCACTTGCTTCTCCTTTTTCCTTTTCTGCCCAGCGCCTCTACAGAGCAGCCGGGGAGGACGCCCAGCACCAGTACACCGTGACTCCAGGCCTGCCAGAGCTTGTCCGAGCGAAAACGAATGCGGCCAACCTGAGTGACGTAAGCCCTTCACGTTGCTGAAGTTCATGTCTGCTTCCAAGCCACACGTGTCTGGCTGGGACATGACCCGCCGTGACCCCCCCACCCCCGCCATCCCAGAAACTTTAAAGAGCATCCTGGACAAGCTGTTGTTAAATAGACCTCTTCACCCACGTGTTGAGTTCCTGCCCGTCAGGGTCCAGGCCGGCAGGTGCTGGGGAGAATTTCTCCACTGAGGGGACAGCTCTGGCTTGTTAGGGATCGATTCTGGAACGCTGCTCTGAAAAGGAAAGGGTAGCCTTTGTTCGTGAATTCATGTAATATTTTTTTTTGAGGAGATCTGCATGTGTCCCCACTGTAGGCAAAGTACAAGGAGTCTTGGCGTAATCTCCATGCTCACGGCTACAAGCTGACAGCAGACGCGCTCCCCTTCCAGGCGGCCCGGGTCTCCGGAGACAGAGCCAGCGATGTGAGTTGAATGCTAGGACCCTCCATCTTGGCTAATTTCTGTTAACTTCATGTAAAACAGTGTCGATGGCTGATTTTCCTGAATTAAAGCAAATCTATAACCATGTGAGACAGGTGGTCGCCAGCAGAATATATTACTTAGGAATGAGATTCTTGGACAGAGGGAGGGAAAGAAAGGCTTTGTTAAGCAGGAGCTAAATTCTGACAGAGGTCTCCAGCAGGAAGACCTCTCGGGTTTAGTTCCCATCACAAGGTGGTGGCCACGCTGCCCCCGCATCCTGGGAACTGGCTTTCAAGTCCACCCGAGAGAGAGCCTGGAGCAGCAGCTGCCACGTGCCTCCCTCTTGACTGTGTTTCCATGCGTTTGGTCTTGCCTGCTGTGTTCCAGTCGCTGTGGATAGCATCCCTAGCTTGGGGACATGAAGGTGACTTTCTCTTTTCCACAAACAAATCACAGACTATGCACACTTCAAATGCAGGGAGCTTGTCTTCTGGGCGCTGTGTTTTGCCAAGTGCTGGATAAAGCACACGTTTCTCTTTTACCTTTTGATATGTTCCTTTTGGCCAGAGGGCACTGAACAGTTGTGGGACCCTCCCTTGGGTTGCGAGGACCCAGTTTTAATGAGATAGGAAGAGTGGAGAGAGGTTTTGATTGTCCTTCCCCCCGGGGAGGACACTTGCTCTCAGCTCTCCCCTCTCCGGTCCTTCTCATAATCATCACCTCCTAGTGTAAGAACAGGTGATCTTTCTGGAGTCTGCCGTGACAACACGCGGAAGGAATTTAAGCAGGCTGAATGCGGCCCTGACCAGCTGGCTGTCCCTTGCAGTTTCTCTACAGAAACGACTTCGTGAAGGAGCGAGGGAGGCTGATCGGGGTCCAGAGTGTGAGTGACGACCCCCACCTCCAGCACTGCCGGCGGATGGGCCAGCTGCAGAGTGAGCTTCAGTACCGGAGGGAAGCCGCAGGCAGCCAGGCCCAGTGCCACCTGCCCATGGACATGATGCACCTGGTGCATGCTCAGAAGGCCCAGGCCCTGGCCAGCAACCACGACTACAGGACGCAGCCCCACGGGTTCACGGCACTGCCTGAGGACTTAAGGATGACCTGGGCCAAGAAAGCTCATGCCTTGCAGAGTGAGGTAGGGGTCCCCTGCGAAGCCCCCCACTGCCCACCTGCCTCCTCTCGCCAGGCCTGAGTATAAATGTGTTCTTTTTGGATCCCCCACTCCCCAGTGATGACGTAGTGTCTAGGTTGGAATCTGTCAGTCATTCAACAAACATGCATTGAGCTCTCACAATGTACCAGGCATCACTCCTGGGACATAGCAGTCAACAAGAGTTCAAAACAGTCCCTGTGTTCTTGGATTTTCCATGATATGGGAGGACAGCTAAAATACACAGTGCCGGGTCAGGCATTTGTTTCAGTTTTTTGCATGAACTAACTCAATGAGTATCTAGGTGCTCACATTGCTCACATTTTTACAGATGGGGAAACTGAGGCACTTGGCAGCATCACTTGCCCAGGATACAAGCTGGCAGGGAAATGACATACCCACACAACTAATAAGAGACAAAGCACAGCTCTTGTCTCCTGGCTCCTCCTCAGTGCTCTAGGACTCCCTCAGCTGGTTGGATTGGGAACGTGGGTGCTCTGGCTCCAGAATGTTCCCAGAGGACAGCAGCCATGGACCTCCTGGGAATCTGAACAATCACTTGTATGCTAAAATTGCTCTGCAGATGAGACTACGAGCCTCTCCTTTGCAGGGTGGTGTGAGGTCTGAATGAGACTGTGAGTGGAAAGTAAACCACACTGTATGAGATAATGAGTAGAATGATTGGCATTAATGTGACAGAGAACCCCCTCCCCCCTCCACCTCCCGAAGGCAGTTGTTTATGTCATTCCTGTTAAAACTCAGGGGCCGAAAGCTGCAGCTCATGCCTTTACATCACAGTGCTCCAAAATGCGGGTGCCGGGAACACCTGCCCGTGATCTGACGAGGGCTTTCAGGCTGTGCTGCGTGCAAGGGGAAGTGGCCAGGTAGCCACTTAGCAGAAGCCAGATTGAGCTGGGCAGCATGAGAAATCTCCTGCTATCTTAGAATCCTTCCTGGAAACCATCTTTGGGTAGCTGATTCTTCTCAACTCCGTTCCCTGCTCCCCCTCTTTCATCCTGGAGTCTGGGGCAGGCGTGTTGTTTTTAGGGTCTGCGTGAATAGTCAAAGCTGGGCTGGGAGCTGAAATATCAATAGACCATCCATTTATAAGAGAGTCTGAGGCGCAGTCAGATCTTTGGGGAACCTGCATCTTGCTTTCTGACTTACCTGCAATCGTACTGTTCAGCTCAACAAAAGGCAAGTTGAAAGAGCGCTCCCCGCCTCATCTTGCTTATGAAAGGAGCAAGGCCCGGCTGTGAAGAGGCCCGGTAGGATTATTCTCTCTAACTTAGAAATTTATCCAATTTTCTCTGTTCTTTATCAGAGTGGAAGGCAAAAGCTTTGCCGGTGTAGACTGAAAGATCGTGGTATAAAAAGCAATCTTACTGACATGGGGTTTTGAAACCTGCTCCCAGACCTGAGTGATGTCTCCCTTCACCAGTTGGAAAGCAAGTCGGATTTGCACAGGGGCATTAACCGGCAGACAGTAGATCAGAAACGGACCTCTTTGAGGCCTGCTGCGAGGAGCACTGTGAATCCTGAAATGAAAGAAAAGTAAAAAGGCTGAAAAGCTGATTTCTGGAGTGATGTTTTGCGTTACAGCAGAGCTTATATCTAAATTAGAGAAATGCTATCACTTCATTTAGATCCAAATTTCAGATTTCCACAGGGTCTTTTTCTACCTTTAAACATGCCTAATTTCCATGAAGAGAGAAGAAAAGCTTCACGTCTGTCTCATTGTAGGTCATGGTAGGCAGGTCAAAGACAGTCATAAGATTTAACATTTCAGTGGACTGCTAATCAGAATCATTGTCTTAAAGTACCTCTTATTATTTTCTTCCAGGAATGATGCAAGTGTCAGTGGAGAAAATGGACAAAGCTTAGCTCATATTTTGCAACAGACATAAGTTACAATTAACAGTGGATGAGGTGTAAACCCAGGGACAAAAAAATTAAAATACTCTCACCAGCTATAGCTAAGAATGCTCCAGTTTTGAGACTCTTGTATAATTGTCTTGCCCTCTCCCCACTATCCAAGAAGGAAAATCGAATGACTATAGAGTGGGCTTTTGTACCTGTGTTATACTTCCAGTGTTTTGGGGAGAACAGAGGGCAGTTATGACCTTCAACTGTCAGGGAGAGAAACTGAGTCACAATGTGTTACAGTGATTTGCTCTGAGGCATATCAGGTTTGATCCAAAGCTCAAAGTCCTTTTAGCAGCTGAAAGTGTATAACACCATTCTATATAGTCAGGCAATCCATCAATCTCTTCCCTGCCAGAATGAAAGAAAATAGCGCTTGGCCTTTGGGCTGGAACCCTGGCCTGGACATCTCTCTCAGCACTTTCTTTAAGTAATGTTCACATGGGTCACGCATTCCAGCGTGATTCCCGTCCACTCACTCCTGCTTGTGACTTATGCATGTTCCATGATTTAATCCTGGTGGTGCACACAGATTCTAACAGTTTTATCTGCAGAATTAGTGCTGAATGAAGATGTTAAAATGTTATGAAGCATTATTTCAAAAGCTGTTATAAACGAACCTCCTGAAAATGCCACAATAGTCTTAGATACGCTCCTGATAAAAGCCTATGATTTTCTTCCTGCAGTCGCGCTACAAGTCAGATCTGATGGGCATGAAGGGGACAGGATGGCTGGCTCTGAGATCCCCCCAGATTGAGAGTGCAAAGAAGGCTGGAGAACTGATCAGCGAGGTAACATCAGCCAGACTCTTCCACGATCACAGCCATTACCATTTCTTTCCTCCTAAAGAGGGAGCCTGTTTAGGATGTAGAGACCCCAAGAAGGCGCCATGATTATTGATTTCCAGGGTTTTTCTGAGACCATTTACAACCAACCCCAAAACAAAACAAAATTTCTTTCCAAGTGAATTCGCTTGCTGGTAGTTAAAGGCATGTTCCAAATTGGGCAGTGAAAGAGGGATGATGCATCTGAATTTCTTTTTTTTTTAGTGGTTTATTTTTACATCATTTTATGCCTTTTCCCATCTCAGTTGTAATCCCCATGGGCTTCCCATCACCAAATCACCCGTGTGCCATAACCATAGTGATGCATCTAAATTCTTAACAGACATGTTCAATGTAATTAAAGTCCAAGATGGCCCATTATTTTCATGGGAGATGCAGAATTTGCTACTCCCCTACCAACTTTACTCAGAGTGCCCATGTCCAGGAATTACCTACTTTCAGATGACATCAAACATTGCACCAGGACAGTCACATTAACTGGACTCCGCATCTTAGTGACCACCTTGCACTTCTTCAGTTTCTTAATAGAAACTTGGCCAGGGTCCAAGCAGAGCCACACTGATACGAGTCTGGCCCTGTACTGAAGTCTTTCTGATGAACTGTGGTTTTTGCAGCCTCTTTTTGCAAGAAAGTACCTACCTAGAAAATATTTCTCATCACAGAGGCAGCTTGGAACTCTTCCAGATTCTTGTTAGGAGCATACCAAGAAGAAAGATTTGTCTTCTACCAAGTTCATTGCATATTTGGTACTGAGTAGGTGGGGTAAGCTACATCTGAAAAAATGCATGATGTTCAACCATTGGATAAAAATCTCTGTCATTCCTTTGCAGACCAAATACCGTAGAAAACCAGATACCATCAAGTTCACTACAGTGGTTGACTCACCAGACCTGGTTCATGCCAAGAACAGTTCTGTGCACTGCAACGAGGTAGGTGTTTTCTTTTCACTCAGCCCAGGCAGGCAATAGTGGATAATGTTATTCAGAGTGGCTGAAATAGAGGTGGACATCTTTTGTTACCTGGATGATCTTGGTCAAGTAACTTAATCTTCTAATCTCAGATCCCTGTTTGAAAGGTAGGGTGAAATACCTTGAAAGGTAGTGATGAAACACTTTGTGAGATTAAGTGAATTAAATAAGAATGAAACAAGTGTTAGGAGCTTTTAACAGTATCTAGAAATAGTAAGTTCTCAATGAATAACACAGCAATAATACTTATCAGAAAATGTTATGTTGATGATCCCTTACCAAATACTGGATCAGATAGTCTTAATCATAAATAGATGGTAATAGAATTAAAAGTTTAACCTACTTAGAAAAGAATGGCTTTATTAAAAGTTTCTTCTGCCTTCACTCTGTATGATTTAGCCCCATTTTCTATCTCCTGTATTTATATCAAAGAATAAGAAGTTAAATATATTTTCTCTGAAATTGTCAAGGGTTTCGATTTTGCGCACACTGTGACAGAGCTGTCCATCTTCACACAGCGTCTAAATGATGTACTGGCGGCCAAGGGTAAAGGCTGAACTTAAAATTGGGTCTTCCTGGCACCCAAGTAGACTACAAAAACACTACTTTTCTGGGCACATTAAGACATTATATCATTAAAAAGACTTTCAGCGGGTCCTTCCTATCATATACTTATTACTATCCTTGAGAAATAATAATGGTTTGGCGACATCTTATTCCTGGCAAAAAGCTGATAGTCAACTGCAAAGGTTTTCTGAAGTTGCCACATAGTTTTCCCCATTTGTCAAACATATCAGAGTATTGGTTTGTGGCCCACTGGGATCAGATCTTAGCAAATATTTTAAGGAAAGCAAAGAGTGAGGTCGGTGAGGGTGGTTCCCGGGGTTCCTGGGGCGGGGGCTCGGGCAGGGAGGCTTCGCACCTGTGATTTCCACAAGTGCAATTCTACATTCACCCTGAGCCGCTCTTTCCCACAGCGTCTGTATAGGTCTGGGGGTGCGGATTCCCTGCACAGATACACCCTGATCCCTGACCACCCAGACTTCGCCAGGGCCCGCCTCAACGCGCTGCATCTGAGCGATGTAAGTGAACCGCTGTTCCTGTTCTGTGGGTTTATAGAAACCAGCCTATTTCTGTAAAATAACTGTGTCCACCTTGAATTTTATTTCTTAAAATATTCTATGAAGGAGAATGCAAAACAGAAAGAGCTCTGGCCCGAAAGTGGGACAAATTGCATGTGTGAGTTACTTTCCTCTCTGGGTCTTAGTTTCCTCAGCTATAAAATAGGGACACCAGGGGCTCCTTCCACCCTCAAGTTGTGAAAACTGGCTTAACTAACCCTCAGCGGGGTGCTGGGCTACAGTCAGGGGAGAGGCCCTCCCACCCCCCGCACAGGCCAGTGTGGCCCCTTGTTGTGTGTCTGCAGCCACCTCGCCTTCACCCTCAGAGCAGAGAGCCCCTCTCTCCCCCTGCAGTTTGGAAAGATGCTACAATTGCATGGAGCCCATGGGTCCAAATCCAGCCGCTCCTTTGTACATGGGGCTGTGGCCTGCAGCCCTTGGGTGTCTCTTGGATCCCGTGGGTGTGTGCCCTGGGCGAGATAACCAAGATGCTGCTTCCTAAACCCCAGCTTGTTGTTAGCAGGGGCTGGAGGCCCCGGTCCTAATAGAATAGGCGGCTGCCGGGCCTGCGGGGCTGTGATCCCAGGATAACAGGTAGCCAGGCGGCTGGAATCAAAAGACGCCTTCAGATCACAGTAACACAGGCCGAGTGTGTCGGCCTGGGGCAGCGTGGGGCCTCCCAGAAGCCGGCCATTCTTCCCTCCCTGGCCTGGCCCATTGTGTCCTGGGGCTCCGTGCAGATCAACAGCTGCTACTGCTCCCCCGGAGGTGGCTGCCTTGCGGGGGTTGTGAGCGACGCCTTCTAGTTAGCGTGTGTATTAGTTTGTTGCGTTTCTAAAGCCCTGTGGGATCCCACGCAGTGAATGCGATGGTGCTTTGTAAATATGAGTTATTATGACCATTTGATGCTTTTGAGGGATGTGCGAGGGATAATTTTAGAGCAGCAGCTCTGGTGGGCTGACCTCCATCTGGGGAAGAGGGACCCCCACCCCGCAGCAGAGCTTGGACAAAACATCCATCTCATTAATGCTTCATGGATGGGGGCACCAGGCCCCTGTGCGAGGGACTATGGCGGCCTGGAGCCCAGGCAATAGGGCGGAACTGCCAGTCCCCTTGGGGTCCTGTGTCGGAGGACAGCCACCTCGGGCTGGTGGCAGAGCCGCTGTCCTCTCACAAGGGACGCCGATCTGTAGAGTCCTGGAGCTGAAATTAGCCGCCGGGGCATGCGGATGTGGAGAACTCACGAACCTCTTTTGAAAGAGCACTTCTTCGGGGCGTGTAGAATCCGCACAATTGGATCAAGTGTTCTGTGAGGAGGATGCGGAGGGAAAGTGACCTTCCTGGGCACAGAAAGCCATTGAGATGTGTCAGGCAGCCGAAATAACTAAAAATCAAATGCCTCTAATGTGTGAGGATGAGGACAAAACTGTGCCCACTGTGATAAAGAAGAGGGACTCCCAGGGTTCCGAATCAAAGCACTACGGAATCTAAAGACTCCCAGAGGCAAGGCAAAAACCTCCACAGAATAAAAAACTGAGGGAGGAAGTGGTGACAATCAAGCAAACAGTATACAGGGAGGCGTTAACAGGAGCAGGCCTCCGGGAGAAACCGAGGGCTATGCCCCCGAAGCGACCCTCGTTGACAGACACGGAGGCCGGGGCGCGTTGGTCGCCCACAGCAGGGCGCGTGACATCTGAGCTGTGTCAAGTCAGGGTCCATTCTTGCAGGTCTGGCCAGGAGACCCTTGTTAGGAAGGGGCTACACCAGGCCCGTTCCAGGGAGGAAAAGGGCGTTCTCTTTGCTGACTTGAGTTCTTGTGGTTCTGCCAAAACAGAAGTCTGGGACTGACGATGGTGGTTAGTCTCTCATCATCTTGCTCCTTCCCTTGCGAGGGTCTCTCAGTCCTGCCAGCCGAACCTCACTGTGACCCAATAAATCTAATCAAGGGCCTGTTTGGGATCCACTAGTTAGGTGATTAGACCCCTGGATTATTGGCTCTGTATGTCGAGGCCCTTGAACACAGGGCTCATGGCTTGTGGTGTTGGATTTTGGAGGGAGAGGTCATGGTCAAGGTGAAGGGGACAATGGGCAGCAGTACATGAAAGTACTGCTGAGTCTGAGTCTGGCTTGACCCGGGTATATCTATGGTCCCTTACAGTTACAGGTCCAGTTGTGGGGTGTAGGGGGCATGAAGCACCGTGCTTTTTGTCTGCCATGCCTCTGCTTAATCCCCCTGTAGAACAGATTCCCCAGCCCTGACCCCTATTTCCAAGTGACTGAAGTAAAGTTCTTAAGGGCCCCTGATCTGCTGTGGCTCTCGAAATGAGTGAGCGACCGACATGGCCAGGGCTGTCACTTTGTCATCTGCTGGTGATGTGCCTCACCTGCTGTCTCCCTTCTCTGTGACTGAATAAAGGACAGCCCTCCACTGGGAGCTCCAGATGACTCCTTTCATGGAGCCATTCCCTTATCTTGGAAAAAAAAATATTAGCTACATGAAGGCGCAGGAGATTTTGATGCCTCTGCCGGTGACATGGGTCTACCCGAGGACTAAGAGGATGTGATTACAGACTCCCGGAGGGTGTGTGAGCACAACTTGAAAAGGGGGAAAATGAAAGAGGAAGATGTGAAATACATGGGTCAGGAACTCGGTCAGGTTCTTGACAATCAATTTAATTCAGGTGAAGCCTCTTCCCTCTGCGCAGGCACCAGGAGTACATGTGGGCTTGTCCTCAAGCTTGTATGCACGCTTCACAGAGATGGTGTGACACAGCACCCTGGGGAGCCAAGGGCCCCTCCAGTGAAGCAGTGGAGCTCATCAATGAATGGGCCCCAGAACCCAAGGAAAAGCACATTCAGCATGGGGGATGGAAGAAACGGAGTTCTTGAGTCTTGGTGTCCACAAGCTGTAAACCCAAGGCACTAAAGGTCAAAGCCAAGATAGGAAGAAGTAGAGCAGAGACCTCTGATACCAAGGTGGAGGGTAGGAAATGTGCTAGGTGACCCCAAGACCCACAAGAGCAGGGCCCTATACTCACACTGGGGGTAGAGTTGAAGCTCTTCATGGCCATCCCACTAATCCTTCAGTTAGGGGGGTCCTCAAGATGCACGTGGGGCACTAACAAGGCAGAGGATACCTGCTTAGATCTTCTCCAGCTGAGAACCAACTGTTTGCCAAACAGCAGAGTTACTCATTCACTCATTGCTTTGCTTCCCCAATCCAGAAAGTCTACAGAAACTCTTGGGAACAGATGCGAGCTGGTGGCTATGACTTCAGGCTGGATGCCATCCCATTCCAAACTGCCCGGGCATCCAGAGAAATCGCCAGTGATGTAAGACCTCATGCATGCTCTCACCCTCTACACTCAGTCTTTCCCAGTTCTGTTAAAAAGAAAACCACCAGGAACCAAATCTGGACATTCTAGAATCTTAACCAGAAGTTTGGAGTTGGGGTGGGTTGTATTTCCATTCCCCCTTTTCCAAGAGAGTCACTCTTAGAATTTGGTATGTCTGAACCTGTGGTCGATTTGTTGATCCCTAGTAAAGGGACTCAACCCAAGGGCAGTGTGACACGGAGACAGAGATGAGGTCTTCCCACCGATTGACTTGAGTTCAGATCCTGGCTCAGTCACTTAGGATTTAGCTCTGTGGTCCTGGCACATTGCTTAATTTCTCTGAACTCATCTTTTTGCATCTAAGAAGCAGCAATCTAATAATTATCTCCTGGGACTGATATACAAATGAAAATGGTTTTACACTGCCATGTGCATAGCAAGTGTCCAAAACATGGCAGCTGTTATGATGGAAAACAAAAATGTCATGACGAGATATGTAATCCTCCATGAATGCTTGTTGTTGGTCTACAGTGAGATAAGCAAGAGATCAAGAGCAGTCCCTTGGAAATGTCGTTAACAACTAGATGACATGACATATAAGCACGTGACCCGTAGATGCATCTTGTTGAGCTGCGTGTAGTCTAGTTTGAGTGTCGTTGACTGCACATGGCACTACTGCATACTAACCACACATCATGGGAACCACAGGTTGGATTTTGAAGGCTTAAAAAAGTTTAAAAGTAGATCAAAATGAAACCGATCCTATCCTATAGATGGATGAGAAGCTCTAGACTTGGTCGCTAAAAGCTGGAAAAAATCAAAGGAAGAGTAGCTGCCGAGGGAGTAAGAGCATGTCTCTGTTTATTGGATCGTTAATTGTACCAGCATTGAGACCAGTAGCCAACACTCAGTGCACCCATCTTGTTGAGTCTTTTTAAAATTGCAGTGTAGTTGACCATTATTTAGTGTACAAGGCACAGGTCTGGCATGTGTATATATTGCAAAATGATCGTCATCTTGAGTCTATTTACCATCTATTCTTAGCAACTTTCACAGTTGCAGTAGCACATTAGTAGCCATGGTCCCCTGATGCACATTGCATCCTTTTGACTTACTTGAATGTAACTGGACATTTACATCTTCTAACCCTTCACCCATTTTACCCACCCCAATTCTCGCTGTAAAATATGGCTTGAAATAGGGAAGGAAGGTGGTGCTTTAAGCTTTGTTCTTTTTTCTCCAGATCACTTTGGCTCTTCAGGACATTTTGTGGTTACATACACTTTTATGGATTGTTCTACTTGTATGACAATGCTTGGATTATTTTTAAGATTTATTTATGCATACAGAATGGGGGTACAGGCCAGAGGTGTGGGGGCGATGAGTGGTTTCATCAGAAACAGAGTGGGGAGCAGAACAGACAGATAAACAAAGTACACTGCTGAGAGGAGCAGTTGGGGGGGGTCAGGAGAGGTCTGCTGCGCCATGTGGTCACCTCTGGGGCAGGCGGGGATCGGACCCGTGCTGAAGTGGCTTTAGCTTCTTAGCACTGTGCTCTAACCTGCTGCGCCACCAGGGAGGGCCATGGTTGGAATTTTGATACAGATTTCCCTGATTTGTAGGTGGCCTTGGGTAATATGGACCTTTTTAACATATATTATTATAGCCTTAATATATTAGTATTAGTCCATTAATTATTATTAATATTATTATATTCTTTTAATACATGAACATGAGCTAGCCTTCCATTTCTTGGTGTCTTCTTTGGCATCTTTCACCCATATCTTCTAGTTTTCACAGATCTTTCACTTCCTTGGTCAAATTTGTTGCCAGGTATTTAACTCTTGTGAGAGGATTGCAAATGGGATTGTTTTTTTAATTTCTCTTTCTAATAGTTCATTTTTTGTTATATAAAAACACAACTAAGTTTTGTATGCTGCAACTTTATTCATTTGTGCTAACAGTTTTTAGGGGTGGAGTCTTATACATAAAAATATATAAAATCCCATTAATCTGCAAATAATAAATTATCCTTCCTTTCCAATTTGGATACGTTTGACTTCTTTTTCTTGCCTGACTCGGACTTCCAGTATTATCTGGAGTAAAAATGGCCAGAGTGGGCAAGCTTGTCTTGTTCCTCATCTTAGAGGAAAGGAATTTAACTCTGAGTATGTTAGCTGTGGGCTAGGCACAGATGTGGTCTTCTTATGTTGAGATTTATCTTCTCTATAACCACTTGGTTGATGGTTTTTATTATAGGTGGACATTGAACTTTGTAAAATGCTTCTTTTGCATCCATTGAGATGATTTCAGGGCTTCATTTTGTTGATGTGGTACATCATGTTGACTACTGTGCGAATGTTAAATCATCCTTATGCCCTGGAATGAATCCCACTTGATCACGGTGTATGATCCTTTTAATGGATTGTTTATATCTATCTATTTTACACACATGTACGCATTTTTACATCTGTGTTCATTGGGAATATTAGCCTGTGTTTCTGTGTGTGTGGTGTTCTTGTAAGTTCAATTTTGGGGAAAGGGTGTGAAAAATGTAGGAATTAAATCTTGGAATGTTGGGGAAACATTCAATTTTGGGAAAAGGGTGTGAAAAATGTAGGAATTAAATCTTGGAATGTTGGTAGTATTTTCCACTGAAATCATCTTGTCCTCAATTTTCATTTTGGGGAAACTTTTTGATTACTGATTCAGTCCCTTTACGGTGATTGGTCTATTCAGACTTCCTATTTCTTCATGATTTAGTCTTGAAAGATTATAGTATTCTAGGAACTCTCCATTTCCCTCTGATGATCTGCAAAGTTTCTGATGAAAAATCTGCTAGTGGTCTTATGGGTTTCCCTTTAATGTAACATGCTGTTTTTTTCTCTCGGTGCTTTTAAGATTATTTAACTTTTGACATTTGATTATACGATGTCTTGGTGTGACTGTCATTGGGACAGTCTTCTTGGGAACTCTCTGGACTGATTCCCTTCCAGACTGAGCTAGTTTTTAGCCATTACTAATTCAAATAAATTTGCTATGCTTTTCTTTCTGTCTCCTCTCCTTTTGACACCCCTATAATGTACGTGTTACCCTATTTGATGTTGCCCCTTTTGGGTGAGCTCAACTGTCCTGTCTTTGAGCTCACTGATCCATTGTCTTCATCAATTCTTTTGTTGAACCCCTCTACCATCTACTTCAATTCAGTTATTGTAATCCTCAACTCTGTGACTTTGGTCTGGCACTTTTACATTTTCTCACTTTGTTGAGGTTCTCACTGTCCATCCATTCGCTCCCACTCATTGAGCATCTTTATGACCATTGCATTGATTTATTCATCCAGTAGATGCTTATTATCAAGATGATTTTCAGCTCTTTTTCATGAGTTGTATCTTGTCCTTTCATTTGGAACACATTCCTCTATTTCTTCATTTTGCTTGACTGTCTGTGTTTATTTCTATATATTAACAAAACAGCTGCCTCTCCTGTTCTTGAAAGAGTGGTCTTGTGTAGGTGTTCAATCTTGTTATTCAACTTGTTCCGATTTTTGTTTCTCTCCTGAAACTCTGCAGTTGTCTAGTCTAGTTTATTCTTGAATGGCCCCAGCTCCTGAGGATGTGCCCTGACCTGTTAATATTCCAAGGGAAAGAGGGACCCCCACTTAGCATCGACTTTGAGGCTGACTAGAGGCCAGACCCTCAGGATCAACCTTTAAAGTATGCCAGCATGCAGTGTGTTCTGGGCTGTGGTTGTAAATGGCCTCCCATTCTGGCATTAAGGAGGCATTCTTGGGAATAGCCACAGGAATCAGGATTCTACATGAAGGTACAATCTCCTTTCTGGGAGGTTCTGGTGAGTGATGTTAAGATCATGGACAGGTACAAAGATAGTGTGCCCTGATCTGAGGGTGCCTCTAGCTTCAGCTATGATGTGGTTGGCTGGTGGGGTGGCTACTCCAGAAAGAGAAGGGGAGTGCTACAAATGCCACCCTCCAGCTCCAGCTCTAGGAAGGTAGACTGTCATTACAAATATGGCACCACCAGTACCTCCACCTGTCTCTGGAGGAAGTTCCAATGGACCTCGCTCCCCGGCAGGCACTTTAGGATTAACAAATGATTCGCTCAAGAGAGACTTTAGTGCTTTTCCAATTACTACTTCTTACCTTAGCTCCTTGGTGAGTGAGTCTGCATACCTGTCCTTTGAGAGTGGGCTCTCCTTTCCCATCACTTCTTGGGTCTCAATGTTTTGCGCAACCTTGCAGGTACCAAGATCAGGGTGTGCCTGATCAGAGTCACAAACTCTCACACCTCAGGAAACACTCCATATTTATGAGCTTCCCCCTGATATGACTGCCACATTTGGGGTTCTTGGGGAGACTCTGTCTCTGCCTCTTCCACCCATTTTGCTGTGTTCTTTTCTTGTCTTCTTGAGGAAGAACCATCTAGCTTGTTTTCAGATATTTTAAAGAGAAGACTGTTGCCTAATTAGCTATGTACTTGGTGTGTCTGTGAGAGGAGGTGAGTCCAGGAACCTCCTGTGCCGCCATCTTGAAGCACCTCTCTCCCTGAATCTTCCAATGTCACAAAGGGTGGAGGTTTATTATTATCTTATCAGGAGGGGAAACTGAGGATCAAAGAGACTGGATGCACAAAGCCACATAGCTAGAAGTAGCAGGCAGAGATACACAGCCCAGATCTACTTGAATCCAAAGCTGTGTCTTTGACCCACTGTTGAGCAGTCCCTGCTGGCAATCCCTTGGTCAGTCTCTGTGGGAGGCAGACTCCGAAACCCATGTCTGCTCCTCTGACCTGCAGTTCCACTACAAAGAGGCCTTCCTGCGGGACCGGGGCCTGCAGATCGGGTACCGCAGTGTCAACGATGACCCAAGGATGAAACATTTCCTTAACGTCGGCAAACTGCAGAGTGACAACGAGTATAAGAAGGACTTTGCCAAGAGTCGGTCCCAGTTCCACAGCCGTCTGGACCAGCCGGGGTTCCTCCATGCCAAGAGGAGTCAGCAGTTGGCCAGTGATGTTTGCTACCGGCAACCCCTGCCCCAGCCCACTTGCGACCCTGACCAGCTGGGCCTGAAACACGCACAGAAGGCCCACCAGCTACAGAGTGATGTGAGCCGCCTCTCCCCACCTGCCAAGGCCCCTCCTCATGCTCTGCACGAGAGATGGCCATAGCCCTACACTCCCTGCTACCTTCTGGGAGGAACAGGGCGGAAGCAGAAGTCAGGACGCCCATATGTTAGTGCCAGAAGGAGTAGTTATAACTGCCATGAATCCAGCATCCCTGTGGGCCAGGCTTTGTGAGCATGCTTGTGTCACGAGCCCCTTGCAGCCATGTTACGCCCCTTACCATCCTCTTTTACAGATGAGTAATGTGAGGTTTAAGAGGGATGACACACCTCGAGATCACACAGCAAATAAGCGGCAGACAAGAGACAGGAGTGACTTCTATTTGGTCGAGGCACTACGGCTTAGCTCTTGATTGCTAAGCTCAAGTGCTTCCAACTCTCGCACTTTCCCTAGGAGGAAACTGAGGCCCAGAAGAGGGGAGTCACTTCCCTCGGCCCCAGAGCCTTTGAAGGTAGAAGCTTGGACTTGAACCAGCCTGTTCCCACTCCTAGTAGCTCTCATCTCTTAAATGGAAAAATACAAGGGGCCGCAGCAACGAGCCGATAGAGTCAGAACACGTGGTGCCAGGGCGTCCTGCTTAAGATAAATTGGCTCCCCTCCCTGGCTCTGTGGATGATGGAGCCCCATCTCACAACTACCTTTTCAATCCTATCCGCTAGGGCCAAGCTGCCCAGACCTGCTGACATCGTCCTCCTGTTTTTCTTTTCCTCCCAAGGTCAAGTACAAAGCAGACTTGAACCTGACCAGAGGTATTGGGTGGACCCCTCCCGGCTCCTACAAAGTGGAAATGGCTCGGCGGGCTGCAGAACTGGCCAACGCGAGGGGTCTGGGCCTCCAGGGGGCTTATGTGAGTAGCGTGCTGCAAACCCGCCCCGCTTGCAAGGCCACTGGGAAAGGCAAACTCATTGTTTCTTTTCAAACTTTATTTTTGGCCAAAGGTCAGCTGCTCTAAAGAAGTATGAAATGCAGCTTAAGCAAGGCGCCTAATTTCATGGGTCTGAGATGACCAGGCAGATGACATATGGGTTAAACTTCCTGCAGGGTTTTCTCTGAAGTCACAGCCATTAGTTCTGCGGAGACGAACCCACTAAGGCTACATCAATCCCGGGCCACCGCTGCCCGGGCTGTGCCGACTGCTTGCTCGTTACATTTGCAGAAAGGGTCAGGGACTTGCTGGCTGTAACAGTGTGGGTTTTGAACCCTACTTTGTTCAGAAGAAAGACGCCACATCTAAATGAGAGATTGGCTTTGCTTCTTTCTTGTTCTTGCCTTGAGGGTCCTTTTTCTTGGGGAGGGCGGTGGAGGGAAAAGGATAGGGAGGGTGAATATTTTAAATGCTCCCGGGGCATCTTAGAGAGCTTGTCCTGTGGGAGCAGAGTGGGGCTTCATTTTAACTCAGGGAACTATATTTGATTTCTGCAGGGAGGGCCAGAGGCTATGGAGACTGGAGATAATCGGAGGGGGGATGTGAACCCAGATGCCACGGAAATTCTGCACGTCAAAAGGAGGAGGGCTATGCTGTTGTGAGTGAGCGCTGTCCACCAGGCTCCTTGGGACTGAAGCTAGAGAGGAAATTTGCAGGGCTGAGATGTGGGAAGATGCTGCAGTCTGGATGAGCCACGAGGACGCACCCACCCACCCCCCAGATCCACCTTTATTAAAATAACAATTCTGTGAAAGCAGAGGGAAAATGGTGTATTTTTGAGTGCTCTCTCTGATACCCAGACATGGGTGTCTGGCTCTGTTGCAAACCTTGAGTATCGGGGAAGAGGCTGTCATTCCAGCAAGGGGTCGGTTGCAGAGGTCCAGGCAGCGGATGTCTGTGAGGCCTGACTTTCCAGAAGGTACAGTTGTTTGAAGGGAAGCAAACATAACACATTCAGGCAGATTCTGTCATGTCTTGGGGTATGAGGAGGGCCCTGATGACACAGGACAGACGCTGTTCCTGGCCCCCAGACTAGGGTCTCAGCTTAGAGTGTGGACGCTCCAGTGCAAGCCCTCTCAAGGGCTCCTTGGGGCTGCCTTGGCTGCTCATGAGACCTTGCCCTGGCTGGGGCCAAGGAGGATGGGCTCTGAGGCTCTGAGACGCCTTAGAAGCTTTCTGCCCTTTGGATGGTAGTTTTGATCCAGTTCAGGAATTTGGTAACTTGGGTGTAGACTCCGGGCACCTTCCCACATTCCAGGCCCCAGCTCACTAGCCCGTAGACATAGTAGGTGCCATCCTTCTCGCAGGTGAGAGGGCCTCCAGAGTCACCCTGTGGGGAAAGACGTGTGAGTTTGAATTTACCTGGAGACACCCCACCACATGTGAGGGGACACCAGCAGGCATTGGGGTGAAATCCCAGCCAGCCACAGAGGTTTTCCTGGAAAGTGGTGACATGTCCCTTGCTGTGCCTTACACGATGCATAGTTCTAAAGGCAGAACAACCAAGGGACTTGCACCCCTGAACCAGTAGCACTCTGCAGAGAGGCCCCAGGGTGAGGGCTGGAGCACAGGTGTCCCACCTTACATCTGACTCTCAGTCCTGACTCGTCAGCACAATGGCAGTACTGGGAGTTCTCGGGACCCTCAACCTCTCTTTTAGGCAGCAACATGGTGCCTGAGGGCAGTGCCCTGTTCGGATAGAGTCTTTTTAGGGCTCTAAAAAGGTGAGGGTGGTGGGCCCTCCCTGTTGGCGCAGCAGGTTAAAACACAGAACTAAGTAGCTAAAGCCACTTCCTCATGAGTTCGATCCCTGCCCCAGACGTGACCCACATGGCATGGCAGACCTATCCCGACCTGCCCACTGCTCCCCTCAGCAGTGTACTTCATCAGTCAGCCTGTTCTGCTCCCCACTCTGTCTCTGGTGAATCCTCTCACTGCCCCTGCACTTCTGGCCTGTACCCTAGTTCTGTATGCACAAATAAATAAATCTTATTAAAAAAAAAAAAAGATGAGAATGAGTTTGAGCAACACGGCCTAGACACTCAACATGGTCCATGGGGAGAGTCTTCTGGGTTCCACACCAGGCTCTCCCACCTGCTTAGTCATGTGACCGTGGGGGTAGCAATACCATTCCCCACCTTCACTTCTCATCAGAGTTCTGTAGGAACTCTTGTGAAGTATAGAAGACACTTCCTTGTTTTCATTAAGTCCCTAATGAAGATGATGATGGTAAAGAGAACAAACAGGTGGCAGTTTTCAGAGTGCTACTCAGGTGCTAAGGACCCAGAGATCTCCTCTAAGCATCTATAAATGATGACAAGGACATCTCCTTCACCAGAGTGTTGTGAAAGTTATAGTAGACAATGCAGCAAAGGCTTCTGTTGTTACTATGCTGAGTCACCCTGGGGTGCTGTGGATTTAGTTGTCAGAAGACAGACCTTCCCGCCTGTGCTTAGCTCTAAGGTGGATGGACTGCTGACCCTGCCTCCCAGCCCAGGATTCTGGCAGCTTCTCTATCTCTTAAGTGTCCTTTGGAATCTCTGACCTGGCAGCTGTCTGGTCCTGGCTTCTGCAGGTTTCCGGCACAAATCATGCTGTCATCAAGCATACGGTCATATAGTCGGCGGGAGTTGCACAGATTGGTGGAGATCAGCTTGACTTTGGCATCCAGGAGCTGGCGGGATCCTTCCCCTGTGGGGCAGAGAGAAAATCTTGCTGCTGTGGGGACTGGGCTGGCACCCACCCACCAGAAGCCAGTTGTGGGGAAAAGGTCATCAGTGCTGAGCTCAAAAAGGAGTGTTTTTTCCCGGGAAATGGGCAGAGAAGACTCATCTGCTAATGCTGGGAGTCCTTTGACGTTGACCTTGACCATGGCCTGTCCATGCCTGCTAGGCTGCACTAATGATGGTGAACACAATCACTAATCCCTCCCTCCACGCAGTCCTAAAGGCAGGGATGGTGTCTGAAATCATTTTTTAAATTCCCGTGCCCAACTGAGGATTGCACATAATAAATTCTTGGTGATGGGTCACGTGCCTGTTGATCCTCTAGATTGCATGTGGCCCCGAGCACACATTTCTACCCCAACGAACCTCAGTCTGCTCAAGTCTCCTCTTTTCAAAATGAATCTGATACTGAGAGGTTTAGATGGACTACAATGAAGTAGGTGCAAAAAGAGCTTTCTGGTTGACCTTAAATCCAACTAGCCTGAAAAATGTATATATTTCATTTCACTTTCTTCATCAATACAGGCTCATGTCAAGTGATTTTTCTTTCCATTATTAGAAACAAAATTTAGGGGGGAAAGAAACCTGTTTTGAGTATTTGAGAATGATGTGCAGCACTGGATATTCTGAAATTTTTTTTTAATCAAAAGACAGTTGTGCAAGTACTATGAGGGAAGTAACCCTTTGGTTACTTCTAAAGATAAGACCAAAGCCTAGAGACAAATTGATAATTTGACCTCACAAAATTAATAGAAAGCCTCCATTCAAGCACTGTGGGAGAGACAAAGAGAAATGAGAGTTGAGTCTGCCTTCCAGGGGCTGACCTGATGAAGGTCCCTAAAGACTGTCATCTCCTGTGGTCAAGATTCCAAGCCTGGATTTTGGGAAATGAAGACTCTTATTTCGACAGAAATGTCCAAATGAGAAAGACAAGAACCTAACGTAAGACTGTCTCACTCCAAATCCACCTTCTCTCTAATCTACCTAGGGAAGGAAGAAGGTCTGCAGGGATACAGAACCAATTGTTGATGAAAGCCCAGGATCTAGGGGTAGGAGCCAGGGACTGATGTACAGATCGGGGGAGACTCTTTGACTGGGATGAGATTTAAGCAGAGCCTGAGAGATGAGGCCATCTCTTTCTTTTGATAATACATTTTGAATATAACACTGATTTCAAGTTCAGAAGGGCGGTTGAGTTTGACCCTTTCTTTTCTGGTTGATGTAACGCACCTGAATCTCAGAAGAATGCACAGCCAGACTCACCTGTCTTTGTAACACCCCAGCCAGAAATGTGGCACTCGGTCCCAGAGGGAAAGGAGACATCAGGCAAACACACGGTCTTCACGTACTTTGATTCCAGAGCACAGTGACCATTCACTGGCTTTAACTTGAGCAAAGCTAGGCAGAGAGAAAACGAGGAAATAAGCGGTCATCTTCTCCCTGTCAAACAAGCATCAGCTTCAACTTGATTGGAAAAAATCTTAACTGATGGATAGCAAGTCCCCAGTCTTGCTACCATCTTGTCCCAGTGCCTGACAACTTCTTTCTCAGAAATTTCATTCTTTTAACTTCTACCTGAAAGCAATATCAAGAAAGAATTGTTGACTTTGCAACATTTCTAATGTATACTTCCAACACACTGGCTCTAATGGGATGAGGGGATGGATACACTGAGGCAAAAGAGAAAGAGCTCCCATCACTGCCACAACCTGAGCACCTACCACATGTACATCATTTCTACAGACAGGTCATATCACTTATATGATTTGCCACTTATGTGCTTACAAGCTGAGACCCATTATACTTCACTGTTCCATTATACTTCTAGAGGAGCAAACTGAGGCTTGGAGAGGTGGGTCTGGCTAATAAGTGGAGGAGCTGGCATTCAAGAACTTGCTGTTTCTATGCATAACACAACATTCCTATCATCCCTTCTCTTCAGTTTAAGAACTTGTGCACATGTATCCACACCCCCAATGCAGACCTTCAGAAACCAAAAAGCTCTGCAATAAAGACACTGCCATTCAGCATCCAGGAGGAACCAAAAAAAAACCAAAAACCATGAGCACCTTCAAGAACCAAACCTCGGCTTTCTGTCAGTAGAGAGATCCACCCAGGACAAGACCCAGGAAGGTCCAATAGAGAAGAGACTTGCCAATATCATCATGGGGAATCTCATCTCTTTCATTATAGTTGCTGTGCGTGAATATCTTCTCCACCCCAAAGGTCTGCTCATGGAATTCTGTCTTCTCCAGATCCTGGTCTCCCAGCACTACCCTCAGATGTTTGGCTTTTATACTAGGAAGGAAAATAAGATGGTCAGGAAGTAGCCCTAGTGAGTGGTGTGACCTTTGACAAATGACCCAACCTATAGCTTCCTTTGCATTCTCACGTGTAAGCATCGCCTTGCTCACAGGGCTGTGGGCCAGATAAGCTAATGTACGGGAACTGCTTTACTAACACATAGTCTCCAAATGTAAGCTGAGGTTTTAGCGCATATTTTCTGGGAAATCTCTCAATTTCCCTGGGCTTGGCCAAAGAACTACCAATGGACATCTGGTAAAAGTTCTTGGGAGATGCAAGTATTTGCATTTGACCTTTCCTGAAGACAATCCCTGGAAAGTGTGGAATACCGGGATGGACTGGAAGACCTGTAAGGCCACCATCCAAATGTGGGGTCCGTGGGAGCAGCCTGACATGAACTTGAGCAGCAGGTGGAGGTGGTGATTTTTCAGCCTCCCCAAGGGAGGTGGCTTCTCAGGCACAGGAGCCATCACTGAAGACACTCAGGCTCAGTGGTGCCGATCAGATTGGCACATATTCTCTTTCTCTGCTCAAGGCAGGACTGCAGAGGTCAAAGAAGCAAGTAGGTCTGGGTTCAAGTTCTCCGTGTCCTTTCATCACTTCCTACACGACCTTCAGCAGGTGCTGCGCCTTCCTTAAACTCAGGTTCTCGTTTATGAAATGAGAATAACAATCGGCAATTCTTTCACTTTTCAAATATTTGCTGAGCACTTATTCCTTGAAAACCCGCTCTGGGTGCTAGGAATACCACAATGAATAAAGCACCTGGGACTCCCTGCCCTCTCTTAGTTTGTTTCCAGTAGAGAACTGAGGATGTAATGCCATAACATGTGTGGTGCCCAGGGTGAGCATTCTGGCCAGGCTAGTTCTTTTCTATCTGGTTTTAGAGCCACTCTTTTCTCCTTGAAACTAGGTCAGAACCCCTAATCCTGCCAGAACCATCACCATGCTGCTCAGTGGGGAGAAGCCCCATAGGCTCGAGTCCCCCGGCTTCCACTCCCAGCAGGCACTTACTCAGTGCAGTGAGCGGCAGTCAGCACCCAGCAGGGGTGGATTAGGGCCCCCCCACAGAAGTGGCCGCTGGGCATGGACACGGTCAAGGGCTGTGTAGTCTGCAGGGATGCCTGCCAAGGGTGCTTGCCCGCTGTGCTCTTAAAGCCTCCATAGATCCGCTTGATCTTCCTCTCTGCTATCTCAGTCCTGCCACAGGAGTCAAACCCTGGAAGCTTGGTCATGAGCTCTGTGGGGCTTTCCTCTGGGTCAGTCATGTCTGTGGGACACAAGAAGCCAAAATATGCCAACTCAGCCTCCCTCCAGAGCCTTGGAGGGACTCGTCACAGGTATCAATGAGTCCTGTAGCTTAACAAGAGCCTCTAGGGTGGAGATGTAGTAGGTGCACATTAAAATTAAAACCCTGATGAAAACATTGATTAATATAAAGCAGGTCTATAGCACTAATGATGAAAATGGGGCTGTCCTCATTTGATGTGGACATACAAAGATGTGTATATTAATAAATATGCCCACAATGGGTTTGTGCGCCTATGGATTAGTGCACACATATTTAGGGGGCATTTCTAGTGCATAAGATGGAGGAGGGTGGGGGAAAAGGATATCTTTCATAGAGAGGAGAGAACAATAAGTGTCTTATGGGTGGTGCGCCATTTCATTCTGTGTAGCTTAGAAGGAAGAACACAAACACTTCATTTGCGGGACCATGGAGGACTGCCTGGCAGGGGCTACTGGAGTTCATTCTCAAACAATGGTTGGGGATGGACACAAACATACATAGGGCAGAGTCTTATAGATGGAGGTGATCTTGAGGACAATCACAGAGGCAAAATTGTGCAGGAGGTCATCCCAAGGGTCAGGGTGGAGAGTGCATCGTTCTAGACGTGGTAGAGACATGAGCGGGAAAGCCTGGTAGAAAGACTGTGACCAGAATTCAGGCCATGTTGCAACCCAGATGGGGTCCAGCCAGTGTTTGATCACAACTGTGCTCTCAGGGTCTGGCCTAGTGCCAAGGACACAGCAAGCAATTGATAAATATTTGCCGAGTCACTGACCTGGAGTCGGAAGCGTGAGTTTAGAGGTGGATCACTGGCCCGAATTTACAAAGGTATCTGAGGCTGCCCAGCAAGCAAAAAGGAGAGGGAGATCTGGCAGTTGGAGAGTGCTGTGATGGTGTGGATTGCAGAGCAGGTGCAGTGCGGGGGCTGGGTGAGACAGATGGGGTGTCAGGAACCTCTATCTAGGGGTCTCAACCTCCCGCCTTGGGGACCTGCAGGCAGCAGGTCTTACCTAGGGCCGAGCAGGCTGTGACATCACAGTACTCCCATTTCACCTTTGCGTTGTTTACTTTGATGAAACACCAGGGCTTTTGGTCACCATCTGGGTTTCTGAAAGACACCAGAAAATAAACCACAGTCAAGGCTTGATAAACCCACAGTTCTTCATTAAAGCACCTTTGAGTAAGAGAGTTCCAAGGTCTTGTCTTCCCCTGGGATCAAATTCCATTCTATTCCTCCAGTAGATCCTGACATGAGAGGGTGGTGAGAATTTTTTGTTTTGTTCTGTTTGGCAAGACCTCAGTTTCCAGAGGAGAATTTCAATGACCAGGAAGGATTCACAGCCTGGTGCCAGATCCTGGAGGCAGGATAGAGTGCCTGCAGGCAAAGAAGTTTGAGCCTGCTGAATATCCCCTTTGCTGGGAATGGGAAACAGCCACAGACACATATGTAGTGTAGGGCTGCTTCACCCAAACCTCCAGGCTCTACACACAAGATTCTCAAAGCAAGGCACCCAAAGGGGTCGCCCTGAAGACAGCTCCACAGGCAAACAGCTCAAAGTCAGTGGAAGTAGAAGGCAAATTACAGTCTGTGCAAGAGAGACCTTCTTGCTTCAAGAAGCCAGTTCAAAGCCATACACAGAACGCTGACCCCTGCTGGGCATATGATAAGCCCTGGCTATAGCAGAAGCAAGGGAGGGAGCCAGCTGGAGGGAGGAAGCAGCCGGGAGGATCCCACTGTCTTCACCAGGAGAGCAGGGCTTTTATCTTTATTTGGGAAAATAAATGTCCTTGTGGCAGAGATTGCAATGTTCACCAGACATTACATTTTCTTCTTGAAAATGTTTCTCCCTTGAAATTATGTGGAACGGGCTCTAGATAATGAAATAAGTGTGTGGAGGTGATGTGTCACTTCTAGGCTGAGAGAGTAAGAGATTCCCATTCCATTCTTCAGTCTCTTTTTGACCTCCCTGGATATTTGAGTAAGTGTGTGGAACAGAAGCCCCTCCTCCACCAGCCCCTCAACAACCTACCTGATACACGTAGTATTAAGTGAGAAATTAATTTTGATATATTCAAGTCACTGGAATTTGGAGCCGGTTTGTTCCAGAGGTATAACTTAACCAGTCCTGAGTAGGAAAATCTTTCTATGGAGAAGATTGATGAGTTTGTATTCTGTTCCAAAACTCTCAAGTAGGTCCAGGAATATGGGGAACAGTGGAAAGAGGTAAACAAACTAACACTGACAAGTGGCCAAGACAGCTCAGAGAAGAAGACATGTGAACCCTGATATTTTACCTGCAGAAGTTGTGTTCCCCAATCCCATGAATCTCGGCATCCTCCATAAACATGTTGTAGTTCTCCTGCAAGAGGAGGTGGGAGTTCCAGTGAAGACATGAGTGCTGGTTGACTGTCTTACTCACTTTTCCTCGGTAAGAGTAGCCATCACCAACATAGCAGTCACCAGGACCTTGAAGAGAATAGGCAAGAAGATGAGACCTGTGAACATGTAGACTGCTTCACACGAAAAGGACCTGGCCAAAAAGGTGTATTGTGTAGTGAGAGCATTTGGCCTGAATATCAATCACCTGGAGGTTTTATCCCAACATCCTAGCAAGAAGGTGACTTGAATGTTTCACATTCAATTCAACCTAAAAGACATGAACTATAGAGGTGGTGAGGGTGGGGGAGGGGGTGCCAACTTAGTTTCTTAACTTGGACTCACGCAAGAACAGGTGAATTGTGAGGTCTACGGGATGACCAGGTGTGTTTTGTTACCTGTAATCCATCCCAGACACACCCAGGACTCTTAGGTTAGAAGACTGAGGTAACAGCAGAGTTTGGGAATCTTGATTTGAACTCCATTCTGAGAACGAAACCCTAACAGTAAAGAATTCCAGAGGCTTCACTGTGGCCCCACGTTTGCAGATGTAGTGACAGAAACCCATACCTATTTCACAGAATTTTCCCTTGAACTGGCCAGGACAGGTACAGGTAAACTTGGATCTCCGTCGATTCTTGGAGCAGGTGCCGCCATTTTGGCAAGGATTTGGCCTGCATGCAGGAACCGCTGTGAACACAGGAAGTAGGCCAGGAAGGCTCTTCAGAAGGAGTTGCAGCTACATCTGAGATGACGAGATATTGGTGGCACTCTTGTGGCACCCATCCTTTCACCAAAGATGGGTCACCAAAAAAGAAAAGCCAGACACACCAACACTCAAAGAATAGACACACAAACCTTGAGAACATAACCATGAATGAAACAATATGATGGAGATCATGCCACAAAGAATGAGGCCGGAGATGCATCAGCCACTGAGCAAGAGCAAGAGATAAGGACTGAATAGGAATTTGGGGGCCACTCCACACTAGCCTGAAACTTGACTCTGCCCCTCATTAGCTGTGTGACCACAAACAAGAAACTCCCGTTTCTTCATGTAAAACTCCTCCTTGCAATGTCTGAGGGAGAATGTGAGAGTGTGTAAATCTCCTGGGACAGTGCCTGACTCATAGCAGTGTCTAAACATAGATTCAATCCCCGCTAAGGCCCAGTCCAGGAACAGACCAGACTTCCTGGAGGGAGTGAGTTTCAAGATAATTCTTTTTGAATGAAAAGCAATACATATCAACCAATTCCCGCTGAACTCTGCAGTGACCATCCATCTTAAAACGTCTTCAAGGGGCCATCTTGGATGCCACTAAAATGTCAGATGTAACTGGACACAGTAGGATGCAGAGACCAGCCACAAGACAAGCAAAGAAAGCCAAGAAAGGGGCCTCCACCACTTACCTGTAGAGCAGTCTGGACTCCTGTAAGGGTGCTTACAAGCACAGCGGTAGTAGGGAGGGTTCTGAGTAACAAGACATTCTCCTTTGCCACATGGGTTGTTCTTACATTTGTTTTGTACTGCAGGAGAGCCATAGAGAAGAAGATCAAAGGATAGGCCCTTATCCGTGGCCTCGAGACGCCATCAGTCACCCTCCCACCCCTCTAAGGCTTCTCTCTTATGCTTGCATCATGGATGAGTGCTTGCCAGCAACTTCTAGAGTCCACAGCCCTTCTTTTTCTCCTTAGTATTTGTGCTCACCATGAGCCACAGGCCCTGCATCAGTGCGGTTTCATCATGACCTGTTTTCTTTCTGTCTCAATAAAAATCTTGAAGCATTTTACATTTTCTACTAACAGAGCCACTATTTGAGTTTCTCCGTGTTACAGCTGACTTCACCTTGCATTTATAGTTTTGTCATCCTTCTGAAAAGTCAAGGGGTGAATCCAGATACTACCTTTATGCCTGGTAGCTCCAACCCTCCCGAGGATGTAGAGGATTGAAAGTGAAGGAAGAAGTGAAATGAACACAGAGGAAGGAGTCAGCCATAAAGACGTTTTACATATTTCTCTGTACACGCAATACAGATATGTGTGTGTGTGTGTGTATGTGTATGTTGAATAGTTGATGAACAGTATAGCGTCCAGACTGAATTAGCCTAGGGGAGCTTGTTTCTACCTTCCATGCTGTCTCCCAAGAGATCACTAAGGACAGAGGTATCTTTTATTGAGTCTCCGTGAGAAAGATGGCAGGAAGAAACAGCTTGAGGCCAGGAATCAGACACCAGGGCTCTCATTTCTGCTTTTCTCTCTAATGCTGTGTGACTATGAGCAAGTTCCTCGCAGTCTCTGGGCTCTCTTTTTCTAACCAAGTTGGGCCCTACACCTCTTGAGAGCTTTCCCGCTCTCCTACTTAAGAACAGGAATTCTCTGTTGCAGAATTACTATAAACGCGCCAGACTAACAAAAAAGAGGCTTGAGTTTGGAATTCATGTGGGTCACACTTCAGCTCTCCCCTCCTTTCGGGTCCAAGGTTCTTATCCTTGGAGCAGACACACGCGCGTCCTTCCTAACCTGCATGGGGGAGGATTCCAGGAGGAGCTTCCAAGGAGCCCAACAGCATGATTCAACTTTCTAGTCCTCTCTGTGGGCTCACAAGTCCTTCCTCGCCCTTGTGCTGGAAACGCAGCTGCCGCTTGTGCAGCCAGAGGTGAACCCCGTGAAGGCACACTCACCCTTCTGACACCTGCTTCCATGGAAAGGGGCGGAGCAGCTGCACGTGAAGGTGTCCCCGCTGATGAGGCAGTCCCCTCCATGCTCACAGGGGTTGGACTGGCAGGGGTCTAAGACATGGGGCAGGCGTCAATGTTTGACAACAAACAGCAGGTGAGAACCCCCCACTGACCTGCTGACCGTCGTCCCCGCCCCCAAGGGGAGAGTAACTGCAACTGTGGAGACTGGGGGAAGGAGGAAAAACAGGCTCATCGCGGCCGGGAGCAAGGAAAAGTGCATTCACACACCTGACAGGGATGCGGGGGACTCAGAAGCAATAGCAGCCCCTCAGCCTGGCTTTAGAGGAGGCCTTTCTCATTGAGAAACTCTCCTTTTCCATCATCAGTGTTTTTCTCCTCCCAGTCTTGCTGGGAGTGCCACGGGGTCTGTCTCTGATGCTTAAGGCATTTCACAAGCCTGAAGACCTCCCCTACTCCCAGAGCCCGGGGTGGAGGTCAGGAGTGGGGAAAGAAAACCCACCCCTAATGAAACACAAGCTTTCTGAGCATCAGGCAAGAAGACCAAAGGCAAGAGGGTGACAGAGAATTGACGGCGAGGAGGAAATGACCCAGTGGCCTTCATCTTTCTTCAACTACTTGTTCAGTTAGATTTTGTCATATTTCATCTGTGCCTTTGGCTTTTCATGGTTGTCTGAATGGATCGTCCCTTGGGGAATTCTTTATCCTTCTGTTCACACACATTGTTCTCTGGTTCAGGAACCAGGATCCCGGGGCCTGGCTCTTGTTTTGATGGTCCCTTCTGATGTTCCCCCGTGCCCTGGATCTTGGCCCTGCCTTCCAGGCCACTTCGCACAGTTACACAGCTTTTATTCCCACTACTCAGTGCTCTCCCTTCCTTCTCCCGCCTTAGCCACATGGCTTTGCTTGGGCCCAGCTTCTGTCCCGTTGCTCGGGTTGAGGAGTCATGAAAACAAAAACAAGGGTAAAAGAAGCACGTGTGTGTGAATACACGTGTACACGCACGCACGCACGTGCACACGTAGCTGTGCAAAGCTCCGGAAGAACAAAAAGTGAGAGAAAAACACAGCCCAGGTGGAAAGAAAGGGATCTGGGAATGCTGCATTCTACAGTCTGCTGCAGTCTACAATCTAAGGCCTTCGGCTCTCCCAGATCCCTCTGCAGAGTTAGGATCTCCCTGTCATCAGGGCTGTGGGAAGGACTTTGAACAGGACTCCTCCTCAGAGTGTCAGGAGTCCCGGATGGTAATGCAGCAGCTCTCTGCAGGACCCTGGCTAAGTCCACTTCCCTCGTGGACTCACTTGTCCCATCAGTCACTGGAGGGTGGGAGAGATTGATGGGGAGATTGATGGCCCCCAAAGACCTCCCCAGTCTTCACTGTGTATGACTCTACCTGAAAAGAAGTCCAACTATGTCATTTTTCTGATAGCCATTTTATGTTGGTCAGAGAGGAAAGGAGAGACACCCTTCTCTCGGGTCTCACATAAACCCCACCTGGGGTACTGTCATCTCTCAGCCCCCTCCCCCCCAGGTCACCTGAGCACCTACCATCCTCTTCATAGTACCAGTCAGGGTTCTCGGAGTAGGTGGGTGGGCTGCTGGTCCCCTCCTGGTTGTCATCTTCTTCACTGTACTCGTAGGGACTGGGAGTCCAATCTGCACAGTTGCAACAGGACAAAAGAAACTGTGATCACTAAACCCAAGTAAGTCAGCGTTTTATTTTGTAGAACACCTTCTCCCCCAAAGTCCTCAAGGAGGAATCAGGAGCCTTGCAAGTTCCCTGCATTGAGGAGGGTCAGGTGTTGAGAGTTTTATTTAGGGGAGGGTATGACCCGGCCAGGCAACTCAGCTGTTGATAGGGTCAGGAGCACCTGGTTGGAAGTGGGGAGAAGTTAAGTTCTGGCTTCTCACTAACGATGAGCTTGGCCAAGCCAACTGTGCTGTGAGTGCTTTGATTTTCTGGTCGGTAAATACCCACAAGATGACTGGGTCTCCAAAGCTCTAGGTGGGCTCTGTGGACAGTCAGGTCCAGGGGCACTAACAGGTCTTGTCAGGTGATTGACATATGAACGATGTTTCTCAGGGGAGCTTTATTCGTTACCATAACTTAATGGAGTCAAAGGAAACCCTCACTGCCCTCGGGCCGGTCATGGCATCACTGCTCCTGGTTGTGATGTTAGAGTCACCTGCTAATACCTATTGAGCCTCCACTATGTGCTAAGCACCTCACATGAACCATCTATTTTCAGTCTCATACAAATCCCAGAGATGTGTTATTATCTCTACGGAGGCCCAAAAAGGTTAAGTAACTTGCCCTCGGCCACATGCTAACCAAAGGCAGGACATGAGCAAGGGTGGGCTGTCCCCAGGCAAGCACCACCTGCCTGAGCTCGATCACAATACTCATCTGATCACAAGACTCATCTCATCACAAGAGTCATCTGCTTCAATGACCAGTTGCCTCAGATATCTCTCACCTACCCTGGGGGAGGGGTCCTAGCCATCTCCACTCAGTACCCATCTGCTAATTAAGCATCACCCAATGGCAAGCTTGAGAAATTTCAGTCTGTTCTGTGCGCGGAAGGACAGCAGTGTCAGGAATGGCCCTGAGCCGTGAACCTCACGCAGGGCCAGGCTGTTGGGGGTGCGTAAGGTTGGACCCTGGCACTTTTGTTTCTTGGCCCCTGGGAACCTCAGTGGCTCAGGGAGACACGTTTAAGATGTGAAGGAAGTTGGGTTTCTTTGCTCCCTTCAGCTGGCAGAGTGTGGCAAGTCAGCAAGTTGAAGCCATCAGGAAAGTGTCCCCAGATGCATATGATAATGAGGCAGGAGCAAATGCAGAGAAGGAACTTGAAAGGCCCTCCCACAGTGCCAGCTGATGGCTTGAGGATGGCTTTGCCTGAGCCTGATTATCAGCCGCATTATCTCACTCAGTTCTCAGTCATTCCCTTCTAGTCTTTATCTCTTTGGCTTTTGAAAAATCGACTTTTGCACAATGGCTGTTTTATATTTCCTATTAAAATTGAACTATCTTTTTATTTCCTTTTTGAATACGCCAACTCTGGTTCCTTGGCAAAGCTTCACCCCATTTATCACAGTGTCAAGTCAAGACTCCCCCTGCTTGCTCATTATTTCTCCCGAGCTGCTTTTCCGCACTATGAAAGTGCTCCCAGAGGAGACCACCTTTCCAGGCATGAGGATCTAGGTGGAAGATAAGGCCATTGTCTTCTTGGAGCAAATAAAGTTTCTTTCCGTCTTGCTTGATAAAGCGGAGAAAGGGTGAAAAAGTGAGAAAAAATGTTTTTCTGAATTTGACATGAAAGATGTCAAACTGACATTTGGAGAGACAGTAGGGTCTGGTGATGAGCTGATGCCATCATTTCTTTCTTTTTTCTTCCATGCATTTATTTTTGTTTTCCTAACAGGTGTTTTTTAGATAAGTGCCCTTCCAGGTGGAGGGTCAGACTGAGCAAACCTGGCAGGCTATTAAGAATCACCCCCATGGCAGATACTTGAACTGGGAAGAATTTCACATAGATGATGGCGTGCTTTTCCAGGTGATGCAGGATGTTTGAACTGTCTCTTGGAGGATTGTGACTTGCATCCAGCCCTGTTAATAAGGTTTGCTCATCTTAGTGAAGTGAAAGAGAGAATGAAACATACAGGCTGTGTATCATGCCCCTGCACAGCCAGGCGTTAAGCCCGGTCATTCTCCAGGGACCAGTGGCCTTGGTTGAGTGGACAGAAGCAGTAGAGGATTAGTGGCCCCCTATCAGCAGGTACCCCCAAGCTGAAGAGGGTGGTGAGGGAAGGCACCCAGTTCCCTTGCATTTGGGGAAGTGGAAGCCTAGGTTGAGGTTGCTTTGCAAGGATGTGGCTTGGGAACGTTTCTCCACCTGCAAACTTAAAACTCCTATTTTCTTTTCTATTGAGCACTTTACCCCATAGCCCATGTAAGAAATGTACTGCACCGCTACTAGGCGCCAGGTGTGCCAGGTGCAGGAAGGTATCGGCAAGTGGAGAGTTCGCGAAAGAGTGGGGTGTAACCAAGTCCTCAAAGGAGCAGCAGTCTATGTTGGGTGGGGTAAAAAGGTCAGCCAGGGAGAGAGATGGAAATGTAGAAAGATCCTCTGCATAGGTCTCTCTCCTGTTTCACAGAGAGAGACACAGGCAGGAGGAGCTGCGGCCCAGCCCAGGCCAACCGACCTGCAAGTCTGCTGTGCTCTTCCATAGCTCTGGCTTCTTGTGTGGGCTTGTGTTCCATCAACTCCATAGCTTTAGCTTCCAGGAAGCAACAGGCTCTGGGAGATCTTTCTTATTTAGTGCATGTTCAGGGTCCCTTGACCAGAATTACTGTGGTCCATACCCAGGCCTTTCAGAAAAAGCCCAGAGTTCCTGAGTCAGGGCTCTGCAGCTGCTCGGGTTAAAGAGCTTGCCAGATGTGTGGAACGGAACAGAAATCCCTGGAACGCGGTCCCTGTTGGCGTCATCCATCACTGTGGCAGAGACAGTTCCTCCAAGATATCCCCCAAGCCCCAGACCTGTCGGCCTGCATCTGATGCTTCCACGCCAAGCTGGCTGACAGGGCGAGCCCAGTGGAGACCCTGCTGGCAGGCAGCAGGACAGCTGATGGATGGCTCAGCCCCTGGGGCTGGATAGAGCCAAGCCAGCTTTTAACAGACATACCTGGGGGCCTTCCCTGGGGACAGGGGCCTGTGCTGTGTCATGGCCATGTCCTCTGCCACACACCAGGGACCATGGCCTGGGCATCCTCTGCTCCAGCAAGGCCCTGGGTGTGCACTATCTCTAGTAAGACCGATGAAGAAAACAGCAGCTTGCCTAGGCCATGAGCTTGATGGTTCCTTGAACACACTGCTACCCAAAGTCAACTGGGTCTGGCAATTTCCATCAAAGCACTGTTTCTCTACCCCAGATCCAATTAAATCAGACATTAATTGGGGTGATTTTTAAAAAATCTAACCTGCTCTTTGCAGAAGGCCCTGCTGTTACAGACACCCCACTCCACAGCCAGAGGTTGACTTTTCCAGGGGGCCCTTCATCTACTCACCAAATTAACAGAAGTTATGGGGAAAAAAATCTTAAAGAGCCCAGAACCTCAGGATCGTACATCCAACACCTTCCACCCCCAGCCTGTGCTGAAATACCACCAGCGATGGGGAACTGCCCCCTCCAACAGCTGACATCCGGTTCAGATATTTGGATGGCGCCGATAGTTAGAAGTCCTTCCTGTTCACAGACCCAAGTTCACTCTGCAGTCCCCGATCTATTTAATTCCAGCTAAACGCCTGATGAGCCCAAAGAAAGAATCTGCTTTTCCTGATCTCTGTGCAGTAGGATCACCACTTACAGTTGGTCACGTTGTTCACTGCACAATTCAAGCATGTCTTCTACAACTTTCTGGCAAATGGCAGTAAAGTGGCTTGAGGTAAAGACCCCTTCTTGATTGCTATAAACTCTACCTCGTGGACAAGGGGCAGGCCATCGTACTTGAAGAGAGGGTGGTCTTTGTGTCTTGTAGGCTTCAGTTTCTCCCCCTGGGGAGCTTCACAGTCTTGCACAGGCTCTCTGACACTCACACCAAACTCCCCTCCCTGGAGCCTGGTGCTGAGACTGAGGAAGGAGCTGACCTTGACTCTGGGAGAGCACGTGTGGGTGCTGGTGTGACCAGCAGGGGTCCCTCTGCAGCATCAGCCTTCCAGGGACTGACTGGGGCAGTTAGTTGGTTTCAACACTCAGCTTCACTTGGGGAAATTCATAGATTCTCTCCACACCATCCCATCAGGCTCGTATAAAGTCTTTTAATCTAGATTGTTCTCCAATCTACGAACATTCTCAGAACACATCAGATGGGCCAGCAGTCAGACATCACTTGCCTTGACTGACAGCTGTCTGTCTGACCATCCAGGGCTTCTGTGACTTTGGCCTGATTATCTCTATGTTTGCTTCCACTAAACTCTGGACCCAGAATTCAGATGTGACCTCAATTCCTGAGGGCCATTGCCTGGGTCTCGTCCTCTGTGGGTGACCAGAGGGAGGAGGTGGGAGAGGGGTTCGCTTCTCTGCGTTCAGAACAGCAAAGGGAGACTCAGCTCCAGACACAGAGACCCAGAGTAGCTGATGTGGCAGGAGGTGGTGGCCCTGCTCATCCTGGGTGCAGCTGGGTGCACCCGGCAGAACAAGCAGGAGAGCAGCCAAGAGACCGAGTCCAGGTGAAGGAGGAACAGAGGTCACTGCACTGTGGGCCTGTTGAGTCTGAGGAAAGAGGCCAGGCACCTGGGGGTGCTGGAGGGAGGCCTTCAGCAGGGAGGGAAGCCTAAATGGCCCTGACACTGTCCTCTTGGCAGAGAATACCAGCTCCCCACCCAAGGGTGGCACGGGCCGGGGTGGCCCGCCCAGCACCAGGCTTTGCTCAGTGACACCCTTACTTTCCTTTGGCCTTTCATCTCACCTTAGCTACTGATGTGCTGTGTGACCTGGGCCAAGTTGCTTCTCCTCTCTGGATCTCAATTTCCTCCTTCATAAAGCAAAGGGGTTTAGCTGCACCAGCAGTTTCCCTTGGGTCCTGAGATGGGTGTCCAGGGTGGGGGTGGGTAGTGGGAAACCGGCACGGTGTTGTGTGTGCACACATTTCCAAACCCCGGTAGTGAGTTTTCAAAGGATCTGGAGTTTTCTGACCCGTAAGAACCCTGAGCTTATTCCAGTACTTATATGCAGGGGCCCCTTCCCCCCCCCCCACTTAGAACCAGCCTGGGGTCATTGGGGGATCCCAGGGCGATCTGCTCACTCACCTGGGTCCAGGTCTGAGAGTAAGGACAGCAGGGAAAACTGAAACAGAAAACATGGAGAAGAACAGGTTGAGTAGGAAGAGCCAGCAGGGTACCTCCAAGCCCTGCACGGAGCTTAGTCACACCCAAGACGTGGGGTACTGGGTGCTGCTGGCTGGGTGGGGTCAGCAGGGGTGCCGTCGGCGCAGGGGCACGTACCTTCCCTGCACAGGTTGAGCATGGGAAGCACTGGCCTTTCTGCTCGCTACCGACCTGTGATTATCACCATCTTTGTTGCAAGTAAACTCTGGACCTAAAGTTCAGATGTGGCCGCAATTTCCGAGGGCCATTGCCTGGCTCTCGCCCTCTGTGGGTGACCTCTTGGCGCGTATGCCTGCTCGAGAGCGCAGCGGCCCAGGGAAAAGTATGCAGCCACTTATGGTGACCGCTGCACTCACATGTCATCTCCTCTTTCTCATCCTGCATTGCTGCACTTAATCCTTTCATCGCCCTAAGAGGACACATTCATCTGCCTGTTTGTAGATGTGAATGTTGAGGCTCCGGGGTTACGCTGATCTGATCAGAGTACCGTTCGTGCTTAGGGGCTATTTCCTTTGACAGCTCTCTGGAGCTGGGGGTGCACAGGTGCCCCCAACTCTCCAATGACCTCTAAATTCCCCTCGATACCCTTCCCTCGCTCCGATCCTCCTCAGTCTCCAGCCACACTGAGTTCAAAATGGCCCTAGCCAAGCTCTCACCACTGCTCTTCTGCTGCCCAGAAAACATCCCAGACCACACAGCCAGCCGAACTTACTCGTCACCTCTCGAGACGGCACGTTTCCTGTCCACACCACTCAGCCCTCAGCCAGGCCGACCGCGTCTGCTTTGTCCCTGGTGTTGCAAACCTGGTCTTGACTGCTCAGGTCCCCTCAGGAAGGGTTTGATGACTCAATAAATAATAAAGTTTTTTTTTTTAAATGCTGAACTTACCAGAAAAAGAAAGTTCCACTGATTCATAGCTGTGATATTTTCACATTTAAATCAAGAGCAAGCAAACCAATGCCCTCGGCCTGAACCTAGCCGTTAAGTTTCGTCAATGCAGTTGTATTAGAACAGGGCCCACCGGCTGCTGGTGGATCGTGCACGGCCCACATGTTGCCATAGCAGCGGAGTGTGACAGAGACAGTGTCACCCAAACCCCTGACCAGAGGGCTGCATTCAGAGAAATGTGTCACTGGGCAATTTCACCTTGTGTGAACATCTTCGAGTGTGATGAGATGGTCTGGGCTTCTCCACCCCTGGCGAGGGAGCGCCAGCTGGGCCCAGCCTCCTGTTTTGAGTCCAGCATCCACCATAGACATCGGTGGGGCACAGGTGTGTGTCCTACTTGGCTCTTCACAGAAGTGCTGACCTCTGACGGAGCAAAAGGGAGCCTTATCTCTGGACATGGTTCCCTGGGGAGCGCAGCAGCCAGAAATCTCAGCAGCTGAGGCTAACGCAAAAGCATCTTCCGGTATCTGCATCTAACCCTACATCAGTAGATTCGCTTGCTCTGCCCTGCCCAGAAGCTTCATTTCTGTTTTACTCAGGCCTCTTTACACACATCTTGGAACTGTGTGGATAATAGATCAGGAACGAAAGGCTACGACCTCACGCCATGTACAGGGGCAAATATCAAAAGCAGGATTCTTGACGAAAATCCTTACCCTGACTCTATTCGCGAGGATCACAACAGACGCATGCTGTGGGCACCCACCAAGTGACCAGGCTCCAGTCTCCAAAAGGCCAGTGCCACCAAGCTGAGAAAGAGGGCAGTACTGTGCTCTGTGAACAAAGACTGCCCCTTGGTTGAGGATGATTCAGCCCACCAGCCCACGATGAGATGAGCCAACGACATTCATGCCAATGTCTCTAACTCTACGTGTGCCAACATGAGGGAGCAAGAACACAAACGTGGCAAAATATTCATTGCTGCATCTATCTGGCTGCCGTGTATCAGTGTGCTTTTCTTCCCACTTTTCTGCTTGACCATATAAAATGACAAGTTGGAAAAAGTAAATGAAGAGAAGCCGCTGGGAATCTGGACGGTGCCTGTTCCCAGACCTCACACTCCCGTGGCCCTGCTTCTGCCAGAAATGAGACAGGGGTGGGTGCTTGGTTTGGGGGTGCACATGTGGGTGGTGTGGGTGGTGGGGAGTCTGGCCAGAAGGGCAGGCTCAGGTCACAAAGGTATTCCTGGGCTCTCAGCGCTTGCACAGGAAGCACGTGGCATATCTGAGTCTGGGCTTGAGTGCCAGAGCCCCCACGACAAATGTCACCGCAGTCACCCTCCTTCAATCTCAGCCTCATCACAGCCTTCAGATCCCTTCTGCTTTGTCTTCATTCTTTTCATGGAGCTCGTCTGGAAGGAAGGGTTTCTCCCTCCCTACCTGTCTTTGCCCAACTCTGAGAGAACCCCTCTGAATTCTCCTATTGGCTGAATGGCGCAGAACAGACCCGGCCACCGTCAGGTATGAGAAGTGGTCAGTACACGAGGGAGGACTTCTGGGACCATCCTCAGGCTCCACCACAGAAAACAGCCTCCAGAAAGAGCACTGGGCTGGAGTTCCAACTCAGCTCTAACCGAATCTGAGGGGCAGCCAGGTGCTATGCTGCTCGCGACCAGCAGATGGCAGACGTGCCCTTCCTAGAATCTTAAACTAGAAGAAAACCAAATAAAAATAAGTTTCCTGGGGTGGGGGTGTCCTTCAGACCCCGCTGGCCCTTGGGAAGCCTGGAAGAACTGCCCAGCCTAGGCTGGATGTCAGGGTGTCCAGGCTGAAAGAGCCCACTCATGTTAATCACTGGGTCCACCCCAGAGAGAGGCAGCCCAGGCACCATGCTGGATGTCCAGGGATGATGCTAGGGGAGAGGTCAGGTAATCGTTGGTCACTTATGCCAACCTGTACCCTGAAACTAACCTGGATGATGGCAGGGAGCAGATGGGAAAGATGGATGCAATATTTTGCCTCCTTTCATCCCATTATTCCATTCAATTTTTTTCACAGAAACAGGGGAATGATAGAAGAACTCTTTCTTCCAGGCACTTGCCAATCCTAAAAGGAAGATAGATGCAAATGAAGGAGGAAGAGAAGGAGGAGGCAGAGGAGAAGACAACTATGACGTTAGTAAGAACTGTAGAGCACCAAGGACTGCACTCAAGGATTTATATGTATTTCACCTTATTTATTGCACATGATTCTTGATTATTGGGGTGCTATAGTTATGTCCAATGTTGAGGGGAGAAAGCAGATTTGCAGAGATTAAGTTGCCCAAAGTAACTCGGCTCATAAATGTGGGCTGCAGTCAGCCCACAATGAAGCTGCCTTTCCTCAGAGCCCTTGCCCTGAAGCCATTGCTGCCCCGGACTAAGGGGTTCCCCAAGGGGCTGGGGCTCACCTGTGCTGTTCTGAAAGGACTAGCAAGAAAGGAACAGAAGAGGCCCTCCCTGGTGGCGCAGCGGGTTAAAGCACAGCACTGAGAAGCTAACACCACTTCCTCATGAGTTCGATCCCCGCCTTCCCTGGAGGAGACCACATGGCGCGGCAGACCTTTCCTGACCCGCCCGCTGCTCCCCTCAGCAGTGTACTTTGTCGATCTGCCTGTTCTGCTCCCCACTCTGTCTCTGGTGAAGCCTCTCGCCGCCCCTGAGCCCCTGAGCCTCTGGCCTGTACCCCAGTTCTGTGTGCACAAATACAACTTAAAAAAAAAAAGAAAGGAACAGAAGAGCTGCCTCACCCCACAGAAGGCAGAGATAGAGCCAGAGGAGGAGGCCAGTGCCCCTGTTTTTAGGAAGTTCTAGGAAGGGCCTGTCCAGGCTCACCCAGGCAGGGTCCAAAGAGGCCCCTGGCCCTCAGAGGCTGCCGGGGGAGGGAAAGTACAAAAGTCAGCTGGAATCTCGGCCAGTCCTCTGTGGCAAACACATTTCCACAAACATCTCCGCCCAGATCAAAAGGCAAGCAGGCCACGGCCCCCTCACTCGACGACCAGTGTTCCTGGTTTCAACCGGGTCAAAATCACACGAAGGTCTCAAGGGTTCCAGTTCCCCCAGGGCTGGAAACAGCTGCTTCTTACACATGGTAGGAGCAGAAGATTCAGAACCCCTCTGCAGCCAGCTGTTGGACCCCATTCTCCACTCAGGCTCTCTCAGGAGTCCATAGCTCAGGACACTGGCCTTCCCCATAAATTGCCTCCCCCTGATGATGTTAAACTCCCCCCAGTCACCAGGGAAAGGGTCTCAAGGCCTGGTGTTCTCTAGGCTGAGGTTGGTGCATAGGGAAAGCAAGGGGGATCCTTGCTGAGGACAAGATCCTGTGTCCTGCAAGTTGCTTATCATCAGTGTCATCTCCTGGGGGTAGAGGCACTGAGGCCCAATCCAGGGTGTCCTGTCTTTAATCAAATGATTATTTCACCTCAGATTCTTCCTTTTTCCTTTCAGAATTCTAAACGTTTGGGTAAACACAACAAAAAAGCAGAGGCTAAAAATCTAAGTTGTTGAGTTCCATGAACTAACTGACAGAAGATTCAAGGAGGACCAGGGAGCAGTGGGGGAGGGGCAGACTAGCCTCGTCCATGAGGGGCCAGAAACCTGGCTGAGAATGAAACAATCTTAGAAACACCTTTTGACTGGTAGGTGTATTAGGACTCTGCTCCTGGCCACCTCTTCCTCCCTTCACAGCCCACCATGATGTGGTTGGGGGAGGTAGACCAGATGTTCCCCACCACCTGGGAAGGATTGTGTTACATCCAAGGGCGTCTGGGGAGGAGGGAGCCTTGTTAGGGGCTAGGGTTGGGGGGGTAGGGCAGTGAGGGTCCATCTGCTGGGTGGAAGGTGAGCCAGGGATAAGGGTGCACAGCTCAGTGGGGCCAGCTGTGGGCAGAGAGTGCAAGGTCAGGCTGAAGAGTGGAGGTGGCACTGGGCAGGGCTGGCTGGTGTCTGGTCACAGCCCCACGCTGACTTGGGCCTTCCTCCCACCGGCTCCAGGTGCCAATAAAAGCTGAGTCATGGCCCTCCCTGGTGGCGCAGCGGGTTAAAGCACAGCATTGAGAATCTAAAGCCACTTCCTCATGAGTTCGATTCCCGCCTGCCCCGGAGGTGACCACATGGCGCGGCAGACCTCTCCTGACCCGCCCGCTGCTCCCCTCAGCAGTGTACTTCGTCGATCTGCCCGTTCTGTTCCCCACTCTGTCTCTGGTGAAGCCTCTCACCGCCCCTGAGCCTCTGGCCTGTACCCCAGTTCTGTATGCACAAATAAATAAATCTTTAAAAAAAAAAAAAAAAGCTGAGTCATGAGATCCCCACATGTGCAAAGCTACTCTCTCTTTTTTGTTTAAATTGTGATGAAAGATATAGAGCATCAGGTTTTTCCACTCAGAGAGTTAATTACATTTATGATGCTGTGTAACCATCACCACTGTCTACACTCAAATCTTTTAATCTTCCTCACCATAAACTCTGATTAAACGGT